GGGCGATCGTCCCCTCAGTGCGACCGTCCCTCCGCGCGATCCTCAGGAAGGTCTGAATCCAGTGTCTCCCGTCCGATCCTGTCCGGTAGAAGACATAAACCTGTGACAGATAGCCAGCTTCCATCGTCCAGAAGGATCGTCGCATACCGTCCTCCGACAGAAGGTATAACTGACCGCCAATTTAACTCTCTTTGTAAACTCTCACGCGGCATAGTGAATAGTTACAGCTCCCTTATAGATAAGTTTATGTTATCCGCATCTAAGCTCTAATCAGTAATTTGTATAGTCTGTACTTTAGCTATAGAATAAACATTTATTTTATTATTTGTTAAACCTGTCTCCTGTTTATCCGAGGAAACCTGTCGACTTACTTACGCACTCCCCACTCGATTAGCCCTCCTAGCCATCCTACGACTCCGAGATCGGGCTTTACCAGCCTGTGCAGATTAAGTGGTCAGTACGAGATTGACCCCTGACCCACTGCGTATCTCACATTATAATAAATTTTTAAAATTCAATTATATTTAGTTTTTATTATGGCTAATGTTAATTTGAGAAAAATTAAACTAAGCCACACAATATGTGGCTAAATTGCTTTCTCGGACAGCCATAAACATCTGTGTTTGAAGCAAGATTCAAATACACAAGCTGGCAAAATATGAATAACAATTTAACAAATTCTGCCACCAGATCATTTAGTATAATCAAATGGTAACGAGTTGGATGGGCTGCAATAATAATAATAGTTGCCGAATTATCGGGCTATAATTATTTTCTGGTTTTAAAGTATTGGGTTAGTGGAGTTTTCACAAAATAACATCTAATGTATGTAAGTAAACGTCACAAATAGTCCAGTTTAATGAAATTAAAACACAAGCAGAAACACACATGCTATTTCTTTAAAACAGATTAACATACTGTAATTTATTATGACATCATCAAATAAAAATCCTCTGAATAAGAGGTAAAAACAACATTACTCCTATCACAAGACTTCTTATCCAAATTCTCATTTAGGGGAATAAATCATACTTAACAAGAGCACCATTAATTAAAGCACGGAGCATCTTTTTGTTTACTTCTGTAAAGATACTTATTTTTTAATGGATAAGAATTTTTTCTTTAAAATTTTTGATTCATTCCCTTAAGATTAACAATTTATTAAAAGAAAGATGGATAAGATTTTGTAAGTGACAATGAGTTATCATCAACTTTGAATTTATTTTATAATTAAAGTAATAAATACAATAATAATAATAATAATTTAAATTTTACATACCTGAGCAGCTGTGGTGGCAGCAGACGTACGTCTCTTCTTTCCTGAAGGACTTTCAGGTTGATTAGCTGTTTTTAACTCACCACTTCCACTGTCAGTTTCTCCTGTTAAATAAATAGTTAATACAATCAATATCAAATAACATCTCAAGATTTTCTTGATCTATTTTGATAATTTTACCCTCTAATATTTCAAAGTTACATCAAGTGTATACCTACCTTATCATTTACAGCTAATCAAAACATTCAATAATTAAAAAATATGCATACATTAGACCAGTGGATGCTACTCATCCCAGGGGGAGTGAAAAGAAACAAACGTGAAACAGGAGGCAGGACCAAACGATGATCATAGGTGAGGGTTTGGGTCACTGACAAGGTTTCTGTTTCCTCTGTTAACTCCCTTAGACTCAATGCGTTGTGTTTTTATAAGTCAAAGTAATTTTGAGATCACATTTCAGTAACTTGAAATTTAAGGTCAAAGATTTTATTTCATATTAATTTTGATTTTTTTTTTTTTTATTTCAAGGGAATGGATGGTATCAACGAGTTGAAGATTGGTATAATTTAGAATTACAACCTCTGACTGCATGACATAAAATTCAAAGAACCTTACACGAGCCTTACAGGAAAGTGTTCCTGGTGTATTTGGCCGAATCTTTGATATTTTACAATTCTAACAGTTCAGATTAAGTCTCCATAGTACAAAGTCGTTTGAGTTATCGAGTATCCGGATGAAAAACTGTGCAATTCATCACACATGTCGTGAAGCTTCAATCTTTTTTTATTTCAAAATATAAAATGCCACGTCCCACAGAGTTCCTTTCAATTGTTATCAAACTTCGGCAGAGCGAGTGAGTGTCTTGTGGGAAGGGCACTCGTGCCACACACAATGCTATATAGTGCAATATGAACCCATACGATATGAGAATCAAACTTGCATATCCTACTTAATTAATGATTTCTTCACAAGGAAATATAGTTAATGTGCAAAACATCATTACTGTTGGAAACATATTTTATATTTCTAACATTTGAATATAATAAATTACCGAGAGTGATCCTAGAATTCATATCAATGTTGAAGAAATAGACAAATATATAGTTCCACTGCACCCAAATATCATAACAATATATGAACGGAGATAGAAATATATTTTTAAACTTTGTTGAGATTAGATAAGATTGCATTAAAAGATAATGTTCACAAAATTCAACATTAGAATAATTCTATTATTAAAAAAAATGGACTAATAAACCGAACACTCTATTATCTGTTTTGCAGATTATCCATGCATCATCAAAATATTTTGTCTATGGACAGCATAACAAATGGGAAGTTGTATGCACATATCCAGTGTACAAGCGGTAGGCTTTCAAGCTCGGCTGGCTTTCTAAGAAACTGTCTAAAACATCCACGGGAGTCGACCTCAATTTCAAAACAAAACATTAGAAATTTACTGATTAGGATATTTTTTTCAAGTCTGCTGTTTATAGCATATCGACTAAATTTACATTTCAGCTTATGAAACTTGGGACTCTCACTTGCTTCACATTATAACATAGTTGAGCTGCATATATATCAATACAATAGTTCACAGGGCTATTTTGTATTATCTGTTTTCCAGGATGTAATATTTTAAAAAAATTATAAAACTTCATATACACTCACTGGCCAATGAATTAGAAACCCCCATGAATATTAAGTAAATGTAATTTTGCAGCTTATATGCAAAACACTTGAGTCATGTGAGTTACGTGTTCATCTCCTATTTAAGAATGCTGTTGGGTCGGTATGGCCATTAACTTTATGAAAATGGGAAAAACAAAGGACTTGACAGAGTTTCAAAAAGGGCCGATTGTAGGTGCCTGTCTTGCTTGAGCCATGATATCGAGAACTATAGAGCTGACAGGATATCTCACCTTTGGAAAAACCAGTGTGTTCAATTGGTGGAAAAATAACCCGTAGCTGATGTCTAAAACAAGTAACTGTGGCTCTGAAACAGTTAATCGGGAATGCGACTAACTTAAATCTGAAAAGGCTAATGTGGAAAAAAGGACTTCCTCTGTGAAGCAATTGACAGAAGAATTTAATGACTCCTGTCCCCAACTCATATCTACCCAAACTATGTGCAGGGAACCGAAAAGAATCGGTATGAACAGTTGCAGGCCTATATGAAAACTACTGATTTCTACAAAGAACTGGAAAGTTCGTCTACAGTGGTGCCAAGAGCACCGTGATTGGACTGGAAAAAAGTAGTGTGATTAGACCAGTGTTTCTCAACCTCTAATAAATAGTCGCCCCCTTCAATAAAACCGTTACATAGTATCACCCCTTCACTACAAAATTCTGATGCCAAGGGCCAAGGCTAATGCCAAATTCGTACTGCATCGAATAGACTAGTGACTAGTATAATGTTGTTTGTTTAATTATTGTACGATATAACGAACAAAATATCTAATTATTATTAATATAATGTTTTACTATATCACCCAGAAAATTGTTTTTTGCCCCAAAATATAAATTGTTACTAATCGCTCCCTCAACATGGAAAAACGCCCACATGGGGGCAATATCACCCCCACTGAAACACTGGATTAGACAAATCACGGTACACCTTATTCTGTACTGATGGTAGACAGAGGGTTTGAAGGGAGCTTCATGAAGTAATGGACCCTGCTTGCCTCATTAACACGACTCAAGGTTCTGGTGGAGGTGTTATGATATGGGGCATGTTCAGTTGAGACGGAACTGGTCCACTGATATTCCTGGAAGGTTGGGTGACTTCCAACGAGTACCTGAACATTGCAGGATGAACTTGATCGGCAACAATGTTGCATTTTTCCCCCCCTGGATGTGATAGCTCTTCCATTGATGACAACACTACTGTCCATCGTGCAAGAATTGTTCAGCGAGCATGAATATGACTTTTGCCACCCACCCTGGCCACCACAGAGCCCAGTTCTTAACTCTGTCGAGAACATATGGGACGTATTAGAATGACATATCCCAGCAAAATCCACTTCCGTCAAATCTATGCGAACTAAAGGAAAGTCTAGTGAATGTCTGGTGGACTTAGCACTTCAGCACCTTGTAGGATCCATATCAAATCAAGTAACTGATGTAATTTGCACTAACGGTGGTCCAATAAAATATTAAACTGCTGTTTCCAATTCATTGGCCAGTAAGTGTATGTATTTAATCAAATTAATAAATAAATAGTTAAATATTAACAAAATAAAAGTATCTAGATTAGAGTAAAATAGTTACCTCTAGAGTGCATATAAGCATTTACATTCAAGAATAGGAATTTATTAGACGACTGGCAAGTCTTTCCTGGAAAATAGTTATTGTTTGATTTACTTTTAAGATTTCTGTTGAATCCCATTTAATTACAAACATTTTTTAGAGCTAATCTGGCTAACAATAAATGAAAAATGTTTTCTTAAATGTAAATTGTGCTATACAAATATACTTGTTTGTAAACAAGCACAATCCTTATGTGTACTTTATAAATTTGGTTACTAACATGGATGGCATTAGGGTGGGTGAGAATAAATAAATTATTTCAGGTTGGGCATCAGCCCATCCTGAAATAATTTAAAGTCTGTCTATACTGACCATTATTAGGGATTTCTTTACATATGAAGTGATGTTTGCCAAGTAATTACATGTTCTGTTTATGTGTTTTACTTAAAAATTGATTACTAAATTTTAAAAATGAGTTTGTTTGATGATATGAGGTGCAGATAACACCCACCCCACCTCTACCCCCCAAAATGAAAATCTTAGCATCAATACTGGTTACCATCATCATATAGGCCTCTAGAATGTGTATATGAGATTTTCATATAAAAATTAATATGTGCTTGCGAGACACTCTTCACAATGAGATTTAAATAATAAAAAAATTAATTCAAAATATTTGCGATGTTATGATCATAATAATTAAAGTATCCTTATTCAATGCTGTATAGGTAAGTCAGTGATGAGCAAACTTTTCTAGACGCAGGCATAACATCCATTGGGCCGTATGCATTTTTCTTATGAGTTGCAGGCTTTTAAGCACACTGAGTATATTTGATAAGCTCTATTACACTAGCTATAAAAATAATATCCAGCTAAAAAATGAGAATAAATTATATAAGTTTAGTTTTAAGCCGATATTCATGACAAAGAATATTCGATCAGGTTATGTAGAGGCACTAGACAGACAAGAAAATAAAATTGACAAAACCTCAGAGGCTGCAAATCGGAACTTTGAGAGCTGTGGGTTGCTCACTAGACAGATATTCAACAGCAGTTCGAATCAACCAAATTTGATGCAATGACACTACAGAAATATGTTATGAACATCCTGAAAAGACAAAACTTACCACCGATACTTGGAGCTACAAGCAACTAATATTTTATTTATACAAGATGCTCAAGATATAGAGACTTTAGCTATGCAGGGAATACTGCTCAATGTGAGTCCCATTCTGAAGGTATAAAACCTGAAAGCAATCATTATTGATCCTCTGGTACAAAAAAATTATTTTTTTAATGCAATTGTCCTGAAATGTCACCATAACATGTATTTGGACTGTTAAACATCTCTCTAGACGACACTGAATAGAGGGACTTTAATTATAATCACCTGCTTTATTTGGTAAAATTAAGGTGCAAAATTATTTACAAATACAAATTAACGATGCCAAATCTGGCATATTTTTGTTGGCTTAGTAATAAACAGATTAGATCATGTCAATATCTCGTACATTTGAGTTAGATGAATATAAAATGATTGAGTGATATTTTCCATAACGTCGAAACCACCTCCGCTATCTTATCCGACTACACTTTCAAAGCATAAAAGCCAGCATGTTTCAAAATTCTAGATCAATGGTTCCCAATTAGTGATACGCGTACCCCTTCATGCAATTTTGGGGTACGCGCAGCAATCTAAAATTGGTCAATTTAAAATTTAAATGCATGAGATGAAGCAATCAAAAAAAAAAAAAAAAAAAAATGGGTGAACCATCAAAAATTCGGCAATTTACAACATGATGTCGAATGCACAAATTCGTTTATTTATAACTAAAAATATTCTCGAAATTTCATCAAAAAAATGCATTTGTGACAATATCTAAATGAAATTCTTGTGCAAGAAACAAAAATTGTACAATTATCATTATCATCATGTCAACAAAGCAGCAATAAAATATTTACTACAGTTTTGCACAACATATCTCTGCAAGAACGGATTTTCGGCCATGACAAACATGAAAACTAATCATCATCATCATCGACTTCAACTCGAAGATGACTCGAGACTGAAGCTGACCAAAAAGCAACCAGATTTTACAAAGTTGCGCAAAGAAAATCGTACACATTTGTCACATTAAAATTAAATAACCTTATGTTATTTTCATTATTATTAGAATTGTATTTTAAAGGTAATAAATGTAAAAAAAAANCAAAGTTGTGCAAAGAAAATCGTACACATTTGTCACATTAAAATTAAATAACCTTATGTTATTTTCATTATTATTAGAATTGTATTTTAAAGGTAATAAATGTAAAAAAAACTTATTCTATTTATCACTAGCTGTCTACCCATGGCTTCGCCCGCACTATATCGAATTTTCTCGTGGGAGTAATATATTTTCTCGCAGTAAAATGTAGCCCATGTCCATCTCCAACATGTAAGCTATCTCCTGTGCCAAATTTTATTAAAACCTGTTCAGTGGTTTAGACGTGAAAAGGTGACAGACAGACAGAATTACTTTCGAATTTATAATATTAGCATGGATTAATATGAATTTCTGATATAAGGGGTATGCGAGTTTAAGCTCTTTCTTGAAGTGGTACGCAGGAAAAACTAATTGGGAACCACTGTTCTAGATCATCAGAAAGCAGCTAAAGTATAAGTAGTGCATCTAATTTATGTATGTTAATTAACCAAATTAAATATAATTAAACTTTAAGATTTGAATTACTGTTAGTGAATTATATAGCTTATTTGTCATCATATCTATACTTTAACTACTTAAAATGATTTCTTTTTAAATAATTCAGCAATATCGTAAGAGAAACTAGATGTGTTTATAGAAATTAATGGCAAGAACACAAAAATTCCAGCAAGTAATTTGCTGAATTTTTGGCATTCTTGTTAATTCAGCAATATTTTTTATTTAATGAAAGTTTAACTTCTCGTAAAATTATAATCTACCTGATGTCATTAGTACTGGTTACTTAGGCTATACAAGTTAAACTGGTTTGAGAAACGTAAAAATTTTTTTTTATTTTATACATTAAACATCGAATAAAGAAGAATTTGTGTTCTGGAAACTAGAATTCCAGCAATAAAAGTAGTTTTTGAACTATGTTTAAAATATGTACGAAAAATTTATTTAAATAGGGTTTCAAAAATTATAGAAAAGGTTACCCGTACACAACTTTGCATGGCTCGCATTTGTGGAAAATAAAATCCATACAGTCTATTGGTTTGAGAATTGAATCAGGTATTCAACATTTAAAAAATATTCCTATCAGAGAGATTGTGTCCAGGGAGTAGTAATATTTCAATACTCGGGTGTTCGTTTAGCAATTCACAAAAAAGAAAAAAGAGAGGAAAGAAAAGAATCAAATACAGTAGAGCATCGCAATCAACTGAAATGTCAACTAACCGAAAGCTTTCCAGTCGGCAAATTTAAATTTCCACTAGTGCTGTGGCGCTGCAATCTTTGACTGTCTTGGGCTACTCTAATATTATTTTTGTTGGTGTGCGTGTTTTAGCTGGCAGCACTGGTGCAACCATGAGAGGGTACTTAAGGACGTGCCAGGATTTGAACGAATTTCAACATGGAATAGGTTATAATATTTTTTCACACATAATCGGTTATCCGAACAACCCCATTCCCCAATTGATTCGGATAATCGATGCTCTACTGTACATTAAATTCTCCCACCACATCCACTGAAGAAATCATCTCCAAAAATTAATTAATGTGAAGATAATAAATTAAACTAAACTGGTAATTAGAAGTTTTTTAAAGAAAACCATTATTATTGAGTTACTGGAAATGAGAATCTACACTCGAGAACCTTTATAACACAGTAACAGCAAAATTTTAATGATTACTAACATTTTTGACCGCAACCTCCCTATACCCTTCGATAAAAATACAACCATGCTTCTGTGCGCTTAGGGATATGTTACTAAGTGCCTCCAGGGCAAATGTGCAATATAAGCATGTGTTAGAGCTAGTGCATATGTTGTGTTATACATCATTCTTCTGCTTCGATAACAATACATACAAAAACGGGGCATACCTATGGGCAGCCCCCTCTCAGGATTTATGCAAGTTGGTAGTTCGGCAATTGGAACAAAAAGTCGCACCTCTATTCCTATCAAACATTCTGGTTTACAGGAGGTATGTTGATGACATATTTATTCTATGAAAGACTGAGCCCATTTTGTAAGCTACATGAATAACAACCCATGTGGCCTTACCATCAAGCTAGATCAGAAAAATGGCACAAGTGCTCATTTCCTTGATATCAATATTCATCTCAATGTGAGCCAAATGGTAACTAGAATCTACTACAAACTGTGCTATGTACCATTATTTATTCCAGCAAACTTGGCAGACCAGTTTTCTTATAAAATCACTCTTTTGTGCACTAACAAGACGGGCACACATGTACCAGAACAGCTGGGAAGAAATGGTAGCAGAGTGGAAGCACATTGAACACACAGCAGTAAAACACATATATGTTAGAGGCCTGATATGTAACTTAGCACATGCATACTCCATCCAGCAAGCTGCATGCAACATATCCAACTCACAAGTAACACCCAACGGAATACAGGATCACAACATTAACCAATCACGCATGGTAGTAGAATATAACCAGCATCTAAGTTCCATATATAAAGAAATTGCTGTCTGTATGGGCACAAAGATTGCCTGTAGAAGATCCAACATGGTGTATGGGCTACTGCGCAATGACAAAGATACGGCCAATGAAAGTCATGCCCTGGGTATCTACACCATTTCCCCTCGGAGACCACAGATTCCAAAGTTATTTAATATACATCGGGTCCATGAAGCACTCATTATGCAAGAGTACAGGAGCACAGGTATGACATCGCCAAGAAGAGATATACCACCGCCCTGTCTACCTACACCACAGACCCCAACATACAAGCAGACCTCCACGAAGCAAAGTTGGTTAGATGGTCACATCAGATTGAACACCTGCAAAATCTGGAGATATTGGAAATCTACAAAACCGGCATAGCTAGCAACTGCATTAATTCAAAGGATGCCAATAAGATTTTCTATGCATGGAGATACTGTTACGAAAGGAATGGGCAACATTAGCATTTAGCAACCTCTTTATATATCATTAGTTATACTTATTATTTATTGTCTATGGGTGGAAATATTTCTATCACTATGGTAACGTATAGAGTTAAAGGTTGTCTGTGTGTGTAAGTTGTTCCATGTTCAAATCTTACTGGTTGAACCTGATGAAGACCGAGGTTGGGGTTGAAAATGTTAGTAACAGCAAAATTTTAACAATTACTGTGTTATAAAGGTTCTCGAGTGTAGATTATTAATGTTTTTCCATTATGAATCTCTTGTTTTGCATGTCAAAGAAATTACATTTGATTTTTAATCTGATATTTACTTTTAATCAGTAAAAACTGTTAGGTTTCAAGACTTTTTGTCTTGATAAAAATGGTTCCACGAAAAAAATAAGTTGGGAACCACAGTACTATGGTATCATCTCACTATAATGATACAGGAATCCTCATTAATTCGAACTTGGATAGTTCAAAATCCCATTAGTTCATAACTGTACTTTTGTTCCAACCGAAGATATAGAGATTTACACATTGAGGAATTTGATTAATTCGAAATACAGCTACTTCATAATTCGAAGTGAAAATTCCGTCTGAACTGTGATATGCGCATGTTAACTCAAAGTGCCTAAAAGAGAATAGACCAAGAACAGCTCTAATCTGGTCATACGGCTTTGTTTTTATAGTAGCACATTTTCAGGTGTCACCTTGTATATGGACTATCCTCCTTTTTTTCTCATATTTGATAAAATACGGCTGGGTTTTGGGATTGCAAGATTGGGCTACCAATAGGAGACAGATATTTGTATGGCTCTAGGCTACTACATTTTGAGCCACTTTAAAAATAATTTGGGCTACATTGAGGAAATCCACTTTACTTTTTATAAGACCTATCTGGAGACCCGTGAGGTTCTCACCGGACGTATTGTTTACCAGCAGTTTATCATCATTATTATTTAATGAAAATAGCATTCTGTATAAGTAGGTAGCCGTATTCCATTTGCTCAATAAATTATACCAGTTACACGATATCATTTGGCATATTGTACAGAAATATGCAAATCTTTCAGTCTCGAATATTTCATCGCCCGAATTTCAAACTAACGAGGATTTTCCGCATTTAGATTTCGACACATTTTAAATCTTCGTAACTTTTTTACAATTAGTTCAGGTTGGAGGGTTATTCCCTATCCCTTACGACATCTGTCAATTTTGTTGCTATTAGATCTTTCATAACAAAGGAAATAGGTGCCTATTATATATAGTGCGACCACATCGTTCGTCACCAAACCCGAAACGGATTTTAAGAGCGAAAAACAGATCTAAAAATAGCTAAACTTAATTATTTTTTAAAAGTCATTTATATATCAACCTACGAATTGGTTATTTTGTATTAGAAGACGTAAATAGAACAGTCTTTCGAGGATTAAAAACAGGAGAAATCCGGGATTGTCCCAGAACAAACTAGGACTTACAGTACGCATCTCAGTGTTTTAATGTTTTGCCTTAATTAACACATAACTGAATTTATAATACCTATACGCACAGGAGCCACCGAAATATGCCATATAAGACATATTTACGTATCTAAATAAGAAAAGATAATTTCTTCTATGCTAATATCTTCAGAAATTACAAAATTATTACATTTGATGTCTGGTTATTAAAAATAAAAGTGTAATTTCGTATTAAACCAAAAATAATACTGAAAAACAAAGAAAAATGACTTGGAATAAAAAGTAAACTTGGAACATCTTTCAAAACTAGACATTGACACACTTCTGCTTTTTATAATTTTATGTCAAGTACGACCAAACAACTATTTATATACGATACTCCATTTATTTGTTTGGATAAATCTTAAATCACTCCATTAATCATTGCCGAAAGGATGGCAATTTTCCATAACCTTTTATACCAATCAACGTCATATATTGGGTTATTTTATATCTGAAACGACGTCCTCGGAGCATTTATTCACTTTCAAATCACAGAATAATTAGAAATTTTCCGTTCGTTTTGTGAAACTGACATATTTCGTTAATAACAGCAAAACCACGTGGAGAGACTAGAGTTAACACTACCTTTAACAATACGAATACTTTTAAACGCAATTGCGGTAATTATAATCGAAATTGCATTGAAATTTAATGCTTTACCTTTAAATTTCGTGGGTGGCCTCCTCTCTCTCGGCATTGATAACGTTATAAGAAAATACACGCCATTACAACTTCAAAAACGATAAACAAAGATGGATCGTTAAACGCCATCTACCGCTCGAAATTTGCGTAATTTTTTTTTGTAAATTTACTTTTAAAACTTTTTAATTAATATTTTCTAATAATTTTTTTTAATTTAAATTTATTTATTTATTATTATTATTATTGTTAAATTGAAAAATATCGTAATGGTAAATTAATATTTTGTCCACAAGGTGGCACTTCGTCACTGGGTTGGGACGTAATGAAAAACTACCCCGCTATAGTTAGTTCCTTCAATAAATTNCAATAATATGCAGCTGTTCCAAACTAGTTTTAAGTATTCTTAAAATAATCATAAGATAGATATCAGTCAACTGACTTTTGGACCACCCTGTACATTATCAATGCATAATGTTAATAGAAGCACTCTCTTATTGAATGAATGATTTATTAAGATTACATCATTAAGCTCATTTCTTTACTACTAGATTTTATGCAATTTATATTGTACGAATTCGATCCGTTACAATTTTAAAACAACAAATACTGTATTTCTGGATTAATGCCGTTTAAAATTATTATTTTAAAAAGATTTTGATCGTTCGATCACTTCCCAATTGTTTAGCATTGCAATTTTTAAAACTACTTTCATTAAAGATTCTTCTTCTCACGAGAAGTAGATCAGGAAAAGTTAAGTAAAAAAAACAATAATAATAATAATTAATAGTACAGTGTGTTTCTTGGTCAAGCTGTACAAATGTACAGTAGCAGGGAAACGGATTGTTTTCATTGAATCTTTGACATGGTCACTGGGCATTACTAAAAAAATAGGCTTTTGGATTTGGAAACTTACAGTGCCCCGAGTACTGAGCATCACCTGGTCAAGATACCTGAAATGATCTGCACACTATTTTATTTCATAATGTAATAGAAAACATTACACAATAATACGCAGTTAGTGGTTTAGTTTTTCTATACTGTATTCTACAGTATTGATGAAATAAACGAAAGAACGAAAATGTAATAATCACTTTCATTATAGAGATACTTTGATTTAGTTACAGCTTAATAAAATTTACAAACTATGGGTTTAAACATCACATAAAATTTTACTACTCATGAATTGCATACTGCTCGCCATCATGTACATGTAAACAATACAGGTTTTACTTGAATTATAACCACATCTACTATAAATATGAATATTTAAATATTTTATTAATAACGAACATCAAGTGAGTACGTGCAAAGGAAACAATGACCGCCCTTGAATGTTAACCACGCAGGAAATATGCAGTTTAAAATAGTAGCCGCAGCTATTTGAATAAAACTGGTATATGATAAATTTTTCCTCCCCATTTTCAGTGAATCATCAAGATGAGTTCAAATTAGTAAAGGAACAGGAGCTTCTAACTATAATATTAAACAATTACATGTATAAATTTCCAAGAAAAACAAAGATTTTAATCAAATTTAACAATTAAATCAATGTACAATTATTACTACAAATCTGAAACCTGAACATTAATCACAATATGTTAAAGTTTGCATGTGAATATTTGGGAAGATTAAAGATATATTTATATAATTATTTTTGAAAAATACTTAAATATATTGATACTTTCCAATCAAAGATTATAGGAACTAGATCTTAAACATAATCTATAGTATAACTAAGTTTACTTTGCATGCAGCTGTATCATGTTACAATAATTAGTATATTTTCAGATATAATGAATAGGTTCTTATAATGAAATCTAAATAGCTAAACTACAAAAAAAGACCCACCAAGATTTTTAACCGATCACCATACTTTCCTGCTATGTTGACAGAGCAGGAAAGTAAAAGATGAATAAATGAGTCTAAATGAAAACACAAAAAAAGGTTTAAACATAAAAAATAAAAACTTCTACAGTCCGTTCCACCTGCAAAAAACTACAAGACAAAAAGATAACGAAAATGCCCATCGGGTTACCTTGCGCCGACCTCAAACCAAACACTCGATAACCATTCAGATTTCCAGCTTAATAAACCTTTTTTTACTGCTATACAAGGTCATTGAGTGATCTACTGAAGCAATTACTTTATGAATTATAATTAGAATGATATCTACAAAAGTTATCTTTGCATGTTATTATACAAACATCCTATATAGAATGATTATAACTCTTATTAGATTAAAAAGCTCAATTTATTTTGTTAAGTTTAAGAAAGGTCGAATTATTATTGTCCGCGTCTTCCGCAATGCTAAACTCTTTACATGTAGGAGAAGGAATTTGTTGTTGCATTGCCGGAAGTAAATTCTCACTTAATTGAGAAAGAGAAACAGTCAAGTTTTCACTATTAACAAATATTTCTCTCGTACACTCCGGANGAGTTTAAGCTCTTTCTTGAAGTGGTACGCAGGAAAAACTAATTGGGAACCACTGTTCTAGATCATCAGAAAGCAGCTAAAGTATAAGTAGTGCATCTAATTTATGTATGTTAATTAACCAAATTAAATATAATTAAACTTTAAGATTTGAATTACTGTTAGTGAATTATATAGCTTATTTGTCATCATATCTATACTTTAACTACTTAAAATGATTTCTTTTTAAATAATTCAGCAATATCGTAAGAGAAACTAGATGTGTTTATAGAAATTAATGGCAAGAACACAAAAATTCCAGCAAGTAATTTGCTGAATTTTTGGCATTCTTGTTAATTCAGCAATATTTTTTATTTAATGAAAGTTTAACTTCTCGTAAAATTATAATCTACCTGATGTCATTAGTACTGGTTACTTAGGCTATACAAGTTAAACTGGTTTGAGAAACGTAAAATTTTTTTTTTTATTTTATACATTAAACATCGAATAAAGAAGAATTTGTGTTCTGGAAACTAGAATTCCAGCAATAAAAGTAGTTTTTGAACTATGTTTAAAATATGTACGAAAAATTTATTTAAATAGGGTTTCAAAAATTATAGAAAAGGTTACCCGTACACAACTTTGCATGGCTCGCATTTGTGGAAAATAAAATCCATACAGTCTATTGATTTGAGAATTGAATCAGGTATTCAACATTTAAAAAATATTCCTATCAGAGAGATTGTGTCCAGGGAGTAGTAATATTTCAATACTCGGGTGTTCGTTTAGCAATTCACAAAAAAGAAAAAAGAGAGGAAAGAAAAGAATCAAATACAGTAGAGCATCGCAATCAACTGAAATGTCAACTAACCGAAAGCTTTCCAGTCGGCAAATTTAAATTTCCACTAGTGCTGTGGCGCTGCAATCTTTGACTGTCTTGGGCTACTCTAATATTATTTTTGTTGGTGTGCGTGTTTTAGCTGGCAGCACTGGTGCAACCATGAGAGGGTACTTAAGGACGTGCCAGGATTTGAACGAATTTCAACATGGAATAGGTTATAATATTTTTTCACACATAATCGGTTATCCGAACAACCCCATTCCCCAATTGATTCGGATAATCGATGCTCTACTGTACATTAAATTCTCCCACCACATCCACTGAAGAAATCATCTCCAAAAATTAATTAATGTGAAGATAATAAATTAAACTAAACTGGTAATTAGAAGTTTTTTAAAGAAAACCATTATTATTGAGTTACTGGAAATGAGAATCTACACTCGAGAACCTTTATAACACAGTAACAGCAAAATTTTAATGATTACTAACATTTTTGACCGCAACCTCCCTATACCCTTCGATAAAAATACAACCATGCTTCTGTGCGCTTAGGGATATGTTACTAAGTGCCTCCAGGGCAAATGTGCAATATAAGCATGTGTTAGAGCTAGTGCATATGTTGTGTTATACATCATTCTTCTGCTTCGATAACAATACATACAAAAACGGGGCATACCTATGGGCAGCCCCCTCTCAGGATTTATGCAAGTTGGTAGTTCGGCAATTGGAACAAAAAGTCGCACCTCTATTCCTATCAAACATTCTGGTTTACAGGAGGTATGTTGATGACATATTTATTCTATGAAAGACTGAGCCCATTTTGTAAGCTACATGAATAACAACCCATGTGGCCTTACCATCAAGCTAGATCAGAAAAATGGCACAAGTGCTCATTTCCTTGATATCAATATTCATCTCAATGTGAGCCAAATGGTAACTAGAATCTACTACAAACTGTGCTATGTACCATTATTTATTCCAGCAAACTTGGCAGACCAGTTTTCTTATAAAATCACTCTTTTGTGCACTAACAAGACGGGCACACATGTACCAGAACAGCTGGGAAGAAATGGTAGCAGAGTGGAAGCACATTGAACACACAGCAGTAAAACACGTATATGTTAGAGGCCTGATATGTAACTTAGCACATGCATACTCCATCCAGCAAGCTGCATGCAACATATCCAACTCACAAGTAACACCCAACGGAATACAGGATCACAACATTAACCAATCACGCATGGTAGTAGAATATAACCAGCATCTAAGTTCCATATATAAAGAAATTGCTGTCTGTATGGGCACAAAGATTGCCTGTAGAAGATCCAACATGGTGTATGGGCTACTGCGCAATGACAAAGATACGGCCAATGAAAGTCATGCCCTGGGTATCTACACCATTTCCCCTCGGAGACCACAGATTCCAAAGTTATTTAATATACATCGGGTCCATGAAGCACTCATTATGCAAGAGTACAGGAGCACAGGTATGACATCGCCAAGAAGAGATATACCACCGCCCTGTCTACCTACACCACAGACCCCAACATACAAGCAGACCTCCACGAAGCAAAGTTGGTTAGATGGTCACATCAGATTGAACACCTGCAAAATCTGGAGATATTGGAAATCTACAAAACCGGCATAGCTAGCAACTGCATTAATTCAAAGGATGCCAATAAGATTTTCTATGCATGGAGATACTGTTACGAAAGGAATGGGCAACATTAGCATTTAGCAACCTCTTTATATATCATTAGTTATACTTATTATTTATTGTCTATGGGTGGAAATATTTCTATCACTATGGTAACGTATAGAGTTAAAGGTTGTCTGTGTGTGTAAGTTGTTCCATGTTCAAATCTTACTGGTTGAACCTGATGAAGACCGAGGTTGGGGTTGAAAATGTTAGTAACAGCAAAATTTTAACAATTACTGTGTTATAAAGGTTCTCGAGTGTAGATTATTAATGTTTTTCCATTATGAATCTCTTGTTTTGCATGTCAAAGAAATTACATTTGATTTTTAATCTGATATTTACTTTTAATCAGTAAAAACTGTTAGGTTTCAAGACTTTTTGTCTTGATAAAAATGGTTCCACGAAAAAAATAAGTTGGGAACCACAGTACTATGGTATCATCTCACTATAATGATACAGGAATCCTCATTAATTCGAACTTGGATAGTTCAAAATCCCATTAGTTCATAACTGTACTTTTGTTCCAACCGAAGATATAGAGATTTACACATTGAGGAATTTGATTAATTCGAAATACAGCTACTTCATAATTCGAAGTGAAAATTCCGTCTGAACTGTGATATGCGCATGTTAACTCAAAGTGCCTAAAAGAGAATAGACCAAGAACAGCTCTAATCTGGTCATACGGCTTTGTTTTTATAGTAGCACATTTTCAGGTGTCACCTTGTATATGGACTATCCTCCTTTTTTTCTCATATTTGATAAAATACGGCTGGGTTTTGGGATTGCAAGATTGGGCTACCAATAGGAGACAGATATTTGTATGGCTCTAGGCTACTACATTTTGAGCCACTTTAAAAATAATTTGGGCTACATTGAGGAAATCCACTTTACTTTTTATAAGACCTATCTGGAGACCCGTGAGGTTCTCACCGGACGTATTGTTTACCAGCAGTTTATCATCATTATTATTTAATGAAAATAGCATTCTGTATAAGTAGGTAGCCGTATTCCATTTGCTCAATAAATTATACCAGTTACACGATATCATTTGGCATATTGTACAGAAATATGCAAATCTTTCAGTCTCGAATATTTCATCGCCCGAATTTCAAACTAACGAGGATTTTCCGCATTTAGATTTCGACACATTTTAAATCTTCGTAACTTTTTTACAATTAGTTCAGGTTGGAGGGTTATTCCCTATCCCTTACGACATCTGTCAATTTTGTTGCTATTAGATCTTTCATAACAAAGGAAATAGGTGCCTATTATATATAGTGCGACCACATCGTTCGTCACCAAACCCGAAACGGATTTTAAGAGCGAAAAACAGATCTAAAAATAGCTAAACTTAATTATTTTTTAAAAGTCATTTATATATCAACCTACGAATTGGTTATTTTGTATTAGAAGACGTAAATAGAACAGTCTTTCGAGGATTAAAAACAGGAGAAATCCGGGATTGTCCCAGAACAAACTAGGACTTACAGTACGCATCTCAGTGTTTTAATGTTTTGCCTTAATTAACACATAACTGAATTTATAATACCTATACGCACAGGAGCCACCGAAATATGCCATATACGACATATTTACGTATCTAAATAAGAAAAGATAATTTCTTCTATGCTAATATCTTCAGAAATTACAAAATTATTACATTTGATGTCTGGTTATTAAAAATAAAAGTGTAATTTCGTATTAAACCAAAAATAATACTGAAAAACAAAGAAAAATGACTTGGAATAAAAAGTAAACTTGGAACATCTTTCAAAACTAGACATTGACACACTTCTGCTTTTTATAATTTTATGTCAAGTACGACCAAACAACTATTTATATACGATACTCCATTTATTTGTTTGGATAAATCTTAAATCACTCCATTAATCATTGCCGAAAGGATGGCAATTTTCCATAACCTTTTATACCAATCAACGTCATATATTGGGTTATTTTATATCTGAAACGACGTCCTCGGAGCATTTATTCACTTTCAAATCACAGAATAATTAGAAATTTTCCGTTCGTTTTGTGAAACTGACATATTTCGTTAATAACAGCAAAACCACGTGGAGAGACTAGAGTTAACACTACCTTTAACAATACGAATACTTTTAAACGCAATTGCGGTAATTATAATCGAAATTGCATTGAAATTTAATGCTTTACCTTTAAATTTCGTGGGTGGCCTCCTCTCTCTCGGCATTGATAACGTTATAAGAAAATACACGCCATTACAACTTCAAAAACGATAAACAAAGATGGATCGTTAAACGCCATCTACCGCTCGAAATTTGCGTAATTTTTTTTTGTAAATTTACTTTTAAAACTTTTTAATTAATATTTTCTAATAATTTTTTTTAATTTAAATTTATTTATTTATTATTATTATTATTGTTAAATTGAAAAATATCGTAATGGTAAATTAATATTTTGTCCACAAGGTGGCACTTCGTCACTGGGTTGGGACGTAATGAAAAACTACCCCGCTATAGTTAGTTCCTTCAATAAATTTATTTACAACTGAGCTTAACATGAAAATTAAACCATGAAAGTTTTATTTACAAATATAATTTTTTTCCCCTTGGAATTGGTGAAAACACAAGTCTTAACGCTTATCAAAAAACTATTATTATTATTATTATTATCATTTTTTTGTCCTTTTTGTTAATCTTTTCTTTACATTACTACTCCATAAGAAAGAGAAATTGTTATGTACATGACTTATAAAAGGAAAAAAAAAAAAAATAATTATATATATATATATATATACNAAAACAGACATTTCCATATCCCAACTTCTTTATTTACAGAACAGTGGACGGTTTGATGAGCAGCAGCGGCGGCGGCGGCATTGGCATGCTGTTTGTCTTTGTCGAATCGAGTCGCAGTTTAATGATTCTTTGAAGGCTAATTTGTGGCACTTTTTGACGTAGAAAATATGACACCGGCTTTACCGAATGGGTAAAAGCGAGACGAATCGTCCTCCTTCGACTAGTGATTTCCCGTTCGGATTCCGCTACTTCTCCGTCGTACAAATTGGTCGCTTTGACTAAACTAAACTCGATTTCGAAAGGGAAACGAATGACTTTCGGAACAAAAATAATCGGGTGGTTACGCCGACGTGAAAAATATTTTATGGTTTCTTACTTAGGTACGTTAGGAAACAAATCTTATAAAACTAAATGAACCGTGATTGTCGTCCTGTTAATGGCATATATATAATATATAGATATTTCTTGTCCCATTTACCTCTAAAAGTAATCACACATCATTTTCAACATGAGGTAGCTGAAGATAAACAAAATAAAACAAAGAAAAACTATTCAAGTACACTTGACAAAACAAATATATATATAGTCGTCTTCGGAGACAGTTTCCTTGTCAAAGTTTCGTGAACAAAAGATGAAATCTTTGGTAAACGATGACTCTCAAAAAAAATAATTCAATGATAGAAGTTTCTATAAAAATGCATAAAATAGTCAATGAAAATAATACTTTCTTCTCTTATTATTATTTTTTTAATTTACAAACTTATTGAGAAATATTTAGTACTTGTTCGTCTTTAATGTTCTGAATATTTCCCAATTCTTGTAAGTGTTCTTTGCCGTTTGTCGTACAATTAATAATGTCCGAAATGTTTTCGCTCTCTTTCTTAAAGCTTGAAATAGTAGGCGAATCTTCGTTCCAGTCTACGTTTTGTTCCGGGGAGAGTTTTGTCACGTAACAGGGTTCGCCGTTTCCGGTCAACCATAATGTGGTCGAATTATTATTGTCCGCGTCTTCCGCAATGCTAAACTCTTTACATGTAGGAGAAGGAATTTGTTGTTGCATTGCCGGAAGTAAATTCTCACTTAATTGAGAAAGAGAAACAGTCAAGTTTTCACTATTAACAAATATTTCTCTCGTACACTCCGGATTGTCACTAACACCAATTCTAGTCTGAATGCTATCGTTTTCTGTACACTTCGATTCCGAATGATCGTTTTCTGACAACGGTTTATACACGTACACAGTCTGACCATTCTTCAACTGAACACGTTTCACTACACAAGGACCACAGATTTCTCCGGCAGCTGCCAAAAGCTGATTAAAATCAACTTTTGGTTTACTTTCGTGACTTTCCTTAAGAATCTTGTTATTTGTTTCATTTTTACAGGATTTGAGTGATGCTAATCTTTCGCTAGTAAATTTCAGTGACATTATTTTCCCTGAATTCTCTTCAGAAACTGAAAAATCAAATAAAAAAAAATAACAATAATTAATATAAATCTTTTAAAATGAAATCTCATTCACTATCTAAAATATAAACATTTAACTCTACCTTTTATAAATTCCTTATTATTGTTCAAAGCAATTTTATCTTTAATTTCTTTATTTATCTTCTGAAAAGTTCTTCCTTTTCCAGGTAATCCTAAATGAAAAATTGTATGCAAATTAATGAAACTGTGCATACCTTAAACTAATCTATAAATAAATTTGTTTGTAAAAATAAATATTTATAGATTAAAACTGATTTCCGACAGCTGCATGTTATTTGTGTGATTCACTCGCTTCTGATGACAATCGGTAACAATAATATGCAGCTGTTCCAAACTAGTTTTAAGTATTCTTAAAATAATCATAAGATAGATATCAGTCAACTGACTTTTGGACCACCCTGTACATTATCAATGCATAATGTTAATAGAAGCACTCTCTTATTGAATGAATGATTTATTAAGATTACATCATTAAGCTCATTTCTTTACTACTAGATTTTATGCAATTTATATTGTACGAATTCGATCCGTTACAATTTTAAAACAACAAATACTGTATTTCTGGATTAATGCCGTTTAAAATTATTATTTTAAAAAGATTTTGATCGTTCGATCACTTCCCAATTGTTTAGCATTGCAATTTTTAAAACTACTTTCATTAAAGATTCTTCTTCTCACGAGAAGTAGATCAGGAAAAGTTAAGTAAAAAAAACAATAATAATAATAATTAATAGTACAGTGTGTTTCTTGGTCAAGCTGTACAAATGTACAGTAGCAGGGAAACGGATTGTTTTCATTGAATCTTTGACATGGTCACTGGGCATTACTAAAAAAATAGGCTTTTGGATTTGGAAACTTACAGTGCCCCGAGTACTGAGCATCACCTGGTCAAGATACCTGAAATGATCTGCACACTATTTTATTTCATAATGTAATAGAAAACATTACACAATAATACGCAGTTAGTGGTTTAGTTTTTCTATACTGTATTCTACAGTATTGATGAAATAAACGAAAGAACGAAAATGTAATAATCACTTTCATTATAGAGATACTTTGATTTAGTTACAGCTTAATAAAATTTACAAACTATGGGTTTAAACATCACATAAAATTTTACTACTCATGAATTGCATACTGCTCGCCATCATGTACATGTAAACAATACAGGTTTTACTTGAATTATAACCACATCTACTATAAATATGAATATTTAAATATTTTATTAATAACGAACATCAAGTGAGTACGTGCAAAGGAAACAATGACCGCCCTTGAATGTTAACCACGCAGGAAATATGCAGTTTAAAATAGTAGCCGCAGCTATTTGAATAAAACTGGTATATGATAAATTTTTCCTCCCCATTTTCAGTGAATCATCAAGATGAGTTCAAATTAGTAAAGGAACAGGAGCTTCTAACTATAATATTAAACAATTACATGTATAAATTTCCAAGAAAAACAAAGATTTTAATCAAATTTAACAATTAAATCAATGTACAATTATTACTACAAATCTGAAACCTGAACATTAATCACAATATGTTAAAGTTTGCATGTGAATATTTGGGAAGATTAAAGATATATTTATATAATTATTTTTGAAAAANTATCTAGTTTTGCTTAAAATTAATAAATACGCTATCTGCAACTAGAAAAATTCAAAGTAAAACAGACATTTCCATATCCCAACTTCTTTATTTACAGAACAGTGGACGGTTTGATGAGCAGCAGCGGCGGCGGCGGCATTGGCATGCTGTTTGTCTTTGTCGAATCGAGTCGCAGTTTAATGATTCTTTGAAGGCTAATTTGTGGCACTTTTTGACGTAGAAAATATGACACCGGCTTTACCGAATGGGTAAAAGCGAGACGAATCGTCCTCCTTCGACTAGTGATTTCCCGTTCGGATTCCGCTACTTCTCCGTCGTACAAATTGGTCGCTTTGACTAAACTAAACTCGATTTCGAAAGGGAAACGAATGACTTTCGGAACAAAAATAATCGGGTGGTTACGCCGATGTGAAAAATATTTTATGGTTTCTTACTTAGGTACGTTAGGAAACAAATCTTATAAAACTAAATGAACCGTGATTGTCGTCCTGTTAATGGCATATATATAATATATAGATATTTCTTGTCCCATTTACCTCTAAAAGTAATCACACATCATTTTCAACATGAGGTAGCTGAAGATAAACAAAATAAAACAAAGAAAAACTATTCAAGTACACTTGACAAAACAAATATATATATAGTCGTCTTCGGAGACAGTTTCCTTGTCAAAGTTTCGTGAACAAAAGATGAAATCTTTGGTAAACGATGACTCTCAAAAAAAATAATTCAATGATAGAAGTTTCTATAAAAATGCATAAAATAGTCAATGAAAATAATACTTTCTTCTCTTATTATTATTTTTTTAATTTACAAACTTATTGAGAAATATTTAGTACTTGTTCGTCTTTAATGTTCTGAATATTTCCCAATTCTTGTAAGTGTTCTTTGCCGTTTGTCGTACAATTAATAATGTCCGAAATGTTTTCGCTCTCTTTCTTAAAGCTTGAAATAGTAGGCGAATCTTCGTTCCAGTCTACGTTTTGTTCCGGGGAGAGTTTTGTCACGTAACAGGGTTCGCCGTTTCCGGTCAACCATAATGTGGTCGAATTATTATTGTCCGCGTCTTCCGCAATGCTAAACTCTTTACATGTAGGAGAAGGAATTTGTTGTTGCATTGCCGGAAGTAAATTCTCACTTAATTGAGAAAGAGGAACAGTCAAGTTTTCACTATTAACAAATATTTCTCTCGTACACTCCGGATTGTCACTAACACCAATTCTAGTCTGAATGCTATCGTTTTCTGTACACTTCGATTCCGAATGATCGTTTTCTGACAACGGTTTATACACGTACACAGTCTGACCATTCTTCAACTGAACACGTTTCACTACACAAGGACCACAGATTTCTCCGGCAGCTGCCAAAAGCTGATTAAAATCAACTTTTGGTTTACTTTCGTGACTTTCCTTAAGAATCTTGTTATTTGTTTCATTTTTACAGGATTTGAGTGATGCTAATCTTTCGCTAGTAAATTTCAGTGACATTATTTTCCCTGAATTCTCTTCAGAAACTGAAAAATCAAATAAAAAAAAATAACAATAATTAATATAAATCTTTTAAAATGAAATCTCATTCACTATCTAAAATATAAACATTTAACTCTACCTTTTATAAATTCCTTATTATTGTTCAAAGCAATTTTATCTTTAATTTCTTTATTTATCTTCTGAAAAGTTCTTCCTTTTCCAGGTAATCCTAAATGAAAAATTGTATGCAAATTAATGAAACTGTGCATACCTTAAACTAATCTATAAATAAATTTGTTTGTAAAAATAAATATTTATAGATTAAAACTGATTTCCGACAGCTGCATGTTATTTGTGTGATTCACTCGCTTCTGATGACAATCGGTAACAATAATATGCAGCTGTTCCAAACTAGTTTTAAGTATTCTTAAAATAATCATAAGATAGATATCAGTCAACTGACTTTTGGACCACCCTGTACATTATCAATGCATAATGTTAATAGAAGCACTCTCTTATTGAATGAATGATTTATTAAGATTACATCATTAAGCTCATTTCTTTACTACTAGATTTTATGCAATTTATATTGTACGAATTCGATCCGTTACAATTTTAAAACAACAAATACTGTATTTCTGGATTAATGCCGTTTAAAATTATTATTTTAAAAAGATTTTGATCGTTCGATCACTTCCCAATTGTTTAGCATTGCAATTTTTAAAACTACTTTCATTAAAGATTCTTCTTCTCACGAGAAGTAGATCAGGAAAAGTTAAGTAAAAAAAACAATAATAATAATAATTAATAGTACAGTGTGTTTCTTGGTCAAGCTGTACAAATGTACAGTAGCAGGGAAACGGATTGTTTTCATTGAATCTGTGACATGGTCACTGGGCATTACTAAAAAAACAGGCTTTTGGATTTGGAAACTTACAGTGCCCCGAGTACTGAGCATCACCTGGTCAAGATACCTGAAATGATCTGCACACTATTTTATTTCATAATGTAATAGAAAACATTACACAATAATACGCAGTTAGTGGTTTAGTTTTTCTATACTGTATTCTACAGTATTGATGAAATAAACGAAAGAACGAAAATGTAATAATCACTTTCATTATAGAGATACTTTGATTTAGTTACAGCTTAATAAAATTTACAAACTATGGGTTTAAACATCACATAAAATTTTACTACTCATGAATTGCATACTGCTCGCCATCATGTACATGTAAACAATACAGGTTTTACTTGAATTATAACCACATCTACTATAAATATGAATATTTAAATATTTTATTAATAACGAACATCAAGTGAGTACGTGCAAAGGAAACAATGACCGCCCTTGAATGTTAACCACGCAGGAAATATGCAGTTTAAAATAGTAGCCGCAGCTATTTGAATAAAACTGGTATATGATAAATTTTTCCTCCCCATTTTCAGTGAATCATCAAGATGAGTTCAAATTAGTAAAGGAACAGGAGCTTCTAACTATAATATTAAACAATTACATGTATAAATTTCCAAGAAAAACAAAGATTTTAATCAAATTTAACAATTAAATCAATGTACAATTATTACTACAAATCTGAAACCTGAACATTAATCACAATATGTTAAAGTTTGCATGTGAATATTTGGGAAGATTAAAGATATATTTATATAATTATTTTTGAAAAATACTTAAATATATTGATACTTTCCAATCAAAGATTATAGGAACTAGATCTTAAACATAATCTATAGTATAACTAAGTTTACTTTGCATGCAGCTGTATCATGTTACAATAATTAGTATATTTTCAGATATAATGAATAGGATCTTATAATGAAATCTAAATAGCTAAACTACAAAAAAAGACCCACCAAGATTTTTAACCGATCACCATACTTTCCTGCTATGTTGACAGAGCAGGAAAGTAAAAGATGAATAAATGAGTCTAAATGAAAACACAAAAAAAGGTTTAAACATAAAAAATAAAAACTTCTACAGTCCGTTCCACCTGCAAAAAACTACAAGACAAAAAGATAACGAAAATGCCCATCGGGTTACCTTGCGCCGACCTCAAACCAAACACTCGATAACCATTCAGATTTCCAGCTTAATAAACCTTTTTTTACTGCTATACAAGGTCATTGAGTGATCTACTGAAGCAATTACTTTATGAATTATAATTAGAATGATATCTACAAAAGTTATCTTTGCATGTTATTATACAAACATCCTATATAGAATGATTATAACTCTTATTAGATTAAAAAGCTCAATTTATTTTGTTAAGTTTAAGAAAATACCACTAAAATCCAAAAGAATATTCATTTAATACTTAATAATTGGCATTTTACTAAATCCACATAATATTTTTATAAATTAACTCATTAGTAATGATGTTTCCATTGTAAAACTTCATAAAATTTTTTATGTTTGAATTAGTCAATAACAATAAATTTAATTTCAATATCAGATAATTATTATTAAATCTACACATAATAAAGTTAATCAAATCTGAAATTATATTTTATTATTATTAAATATTTAAAAATTAGAATAAATAAAGCTGAAAAAGCAACTTAATCAATAACAAGTATAACAAGATAAAAATACTTTTTGTTTATTTAAAAAAAAAATGATTGTCCTATGTTAGTGGCAGCTTTAGATAATGGCAATCTGAGCTTTGTTTTTGCATGCAGCTTTGTGTTTTTAGTATTTAATTGTGTCTTAGGTATCAGTCTAGAACTTGTAGAATAGCCAGCAACCCCACAATACAGACTTATAATATAAGAGAGGCCTCTCCTATCTATCTTGCCTTAGGCCCTGCATGTCCTAAATTCACTAGTGTGTAATAAGCACACCGACTTCTGCCAAGATCCCTCACTTGTAGACCAGACTAACCTCCATATTTTCTGATAATTATGTTAATATTTTGATATTTTCTAAATTAATCAAGTAAATATACTGGAAGCTGACGTATTATCTTTCATTAAGATTAAACAAAAAGTATTTCGTATTACAAATTTTCTCAGAAACAGTATTCTTCACTATACAATCAGCAGCAGAACTGTAAACATTCGTCATCGAAATTTGTATTCGTCACACAGCAGACGTGTCACTCAACCTTATATATGTACTAACTTGCGTCGACGCGCTCTTCGCTGGTGTCGTTACAAACAATGTCGTTTATTCGATTTATTATTACGATTCATACAAATATTTCTTCGGATATTTATCTATACGGTATTTTGCAGTTGATTTTTATAAAAACTTTTGTTTATTTATTTCATTTTATTGATATAAAGAAGATTAAACCGAAGCGTCTAACTCGATATTTTACAACTACGATAGCGTTTTTTTTCCACATTTAAAAACAAATTTTTATTATAATAACTAATACAAATGCTATCTTTTAAATAAAATCTCATAACAGATGGCACCACACGAAATTTCAGGCGTAACAAATGTTTTTTTTAAAATATTTTTCACCGGTAAGTTACGCAACTCGTTGCTGGCTTTTTATTAATTACATTAATTAATCAAATTTGTAATTAGTATTAAACCAATACAAAGAAGTACATTTACTAAAGAAATTCCAAATAGGATCCGTGTAACATGCTACCGGCTCACCAGTGGCCAAGCGGTTCTGTTCCCTGAACACTGGGAGTTCGGTCGTGGGACAGTACGAGCTGAACACGTGGAGTTTTCCGGCTTTTCTCCACGTCTATAATGCCTGAATAGGAACCAGACTCTTAAATAACACCTCCCGGAAGGCATTCCCCTAGGCAGATCGCCCAAGTGTTGCGTTGCCATAACTTAATAAAACAAAACAAAGTAACATGCTACGGCTTTTTTTCATCTGTAGTTCGATAGCAGATCGAAGCCATGTTTTTACGCAACACTCCGGATTCCAAAGTGTACACGGCGGTAGACCGTGTACTCATAGTTTAGTAAACAGTAAACTTGCAGCACGTTCAATAAGAATGCGTGCTCTTTTCTTTGTTGTAATCAAATTCGTAAGATTACTATACGAACACGCGACGAGTTATAAAGTCAGCAACAACTCAATTGTTCTCTTATACAATGTGCATGAAATTCAAAATTCGCGCAAGTCGTTGTGTAAACTTAAATGTATAGAACGTGGCAACGTGTCTGGAAACTGTAAAGAACCTTTGGTTTTTACAACGGACACCTTATCTGGCCCCGAAATATCACTGGCTAAACGCATTAGTTTATACTATTTTATAATACAGTCTAACAACAACGGATTACACATACATCTGTACTTAGGAAAGTCATAAAGGTTCATTCGTTTATTTATATTATTAGTTTTGAATGTAAACAAGTTATAATGAGGAAACGAAATAGAACAGATATAAATACAACAGAACACTGATTATCCCAATTAAAAAAAAACATGTTTTACCGTATTTGGTAAGAATAAATGTGTGTATTATTGTAGTTACATTTTAATATTAAGTTAAATGATAAATGGTAACAGAAATAATTTTGTAATACGTTTCAAACTTAATTCTTTTTATATTTTCCTCTTAATTAATTATAAATAATTATTGCCAACATATAACATTTACAAATAAATAAATATTAATAAACGTTTAATTATGTATATATTATAATTCTTTTAAGTAATTATAAAAACAAAATCCTAAATTGTTAATACTGAGTCATCATTGTGTTAATGTTAAGAAATAACAGTAATTCAAATATTTATATATTCTTACCGTATATTTGACATTAAAGAACACGAATACTTTTCTCCAAATATGTTGTTATTTTCTGTCAGTATCCAATCGTTAATTAAATATCACTTATTTCTCTTCCAGGTATCAATAACAGCACTAATTTATACAACCTTGAATAAGCTGACAGACCAAATATTGAACGTAGATTAGCACATGTCTTGAAATGTTCCGGACTTTCATTGTAAACAATGATTTTCAAATGTCTCAAAATGGGAGAAGACTATCTAGTATTGAATGTTTTGTATATAATTTTCATTACAAAATTCAGAAAAACCATACTGCTGAATCAGAAGAATGAGTAAAGTCACGAAAAAATAATATATATTAAATATTACTGGCACAAAGGACGATTTTTATTGATTTCCCCCCTGCCTGTTGAATAACAGTTGCATGTTCTCATAGTATATACATGAAGTCAAGTAGAAGTTAAATTCAATAATTTCGAGAGAACAACAATAATTATTATTTATATTGATCTAAGAGATTTTTTATTATAATTTTTAAAAGAATTCTTTATATTTTACAGGACAAAAATTTTGCATAACAGAATTCTCTTTTTGTAGTTTAGATACACCTTATTTTCCTGTCATTATCTCTTAGATATGCATTTAATAATTGTTTGGCAATTCAATTTTCTGGTATACTTGTTTAATGATATATAGTAGCGGTGTCAACTTTCCGAACGGCGGGCCAATTGCGCATAAGTCGCAAGCAAGCAGATATATATATACAGTAGAGCGTCCCAATTGATTATCCGAATCAATTGGGGACTGGGGTCGTTCGGGTAACCAATTATGTACGAAAAAATAGTTTAACGTATTCGATGTTGAAATTTTTCTCCGTTGCGTGTCGCTTCGCGTTGAATTTTCGTCGATGTTAAGACTAACGAAGACTATTGTATCGTTAAAAATTATTTTTTTACTTTGTACAAACAAAATAAATATATTGAAAAATATAAAAAAACAATAAAAAATTATACTTCAGAAGTTAATTTAGTATCAAAAACGTAAAATATTTGAGTAGCCCAAGATATAGCCAAAGATTGCAGCGCCACAGCACTAGCGAAAATGTAAATTTGTCGACTGGAATTCTTTCGGATAACTGACGTTTCGGATAGTTGATTTTCGGATAATCGACGCTCTACTGTATTAATTACCTTGTAGCAGGCTTACAACACAATGTGATGGACATTACAAAATAATTCCTATAAATGTGTCTGAATTATTCAAGATACATAAACCAAAAAATCAGTACAAATGCCTTTGATGAGGCCAAAAATTCATTGCTAAAATTGATATGAATTGGACAGATTTTGGATGAATTAGTTATTAGTATAAGTTGTTTGCAAATGATGAGTAGTTATTAACAGTTCAGACAACAGAATTCATTCTATGTTGAAAGTGAAGATTACAAATAACATCATCAATCCATCAAAAGTTATTTACTGCAAACGTTTTTGATCATATTATGTTCCATTGATAGTTGTAGTATTTTTGCTACATGAAACATGATTTAGATAAAAGATAATTTAACATTATTGAAGACTTTTGCAGTAAATAACTTTTTCTGGATTGACATGTTTGATTAATTCATTATCCAGAATGCCAAGTTAACTTGTGAAATATGGAAAATTCTCATAGTATTTTCATTACTGAAAACATTTTTACTACTTTCATTATTTGAAGTAAATTTTCTTGAATAACTACAAACAAAAAGTATTAAGAAATAAATCTGTTTTTTCATGAAGACAAAGTTAAAGCCATTTTCATTCAAAATGTATCTTAAGCAAAACTATAGATAGATATCACTTGATATCATTATTTTGATATCACAGACAATAATATAAACACAATAAGAAAAAAAAACACCATTTAATAATGGAAATGAAATTCCTCAACAAAGTAATTTCCGAAGAAATAACATCCACTGGCATAAAACAAACTTTCAAATGCATTTAGTATGTTTATAAAGGAATAAAAAATGATAAATATATAGAATACATTCAGCAGAATTACCAATTGTTCTGGAATGTTTGTGACAAACAAGCACATTATTAACAGTCAGAGAAAAAAATTTTTTAAATTTACTTTTAATAAAAAAAAACAATTTTCAAATTTTAAAATGATTCCAATAAATCATTGTAAATCAAAATTATAAAATCTGTTCTGTAGGAACGAAGAGGAATTTTAATATTTTAAAATCAGCCGACTGCACTTAGACAAGACAAATACCAAATTGCCAGTTGGAGACACATTGGAATAGATATGGTAGAACAAATAATCAATATCATAAAAATCAATCCTCTGTTTTTAGTGAATATTTTCCAGTTACAATCATGAAGTAGGCTTTCCAATACAATAAAAATATATTTATAGGCATAATAATAAGAATTCAGTCGATCCAGCTTACTAGATTTGATAAACCTCCTAAATCAATAGCATTCTTCACTTTTATTCTTATGTTTATGATAAATTTTAATCAATTTGAAAAATCAAAACCTTTTATTTAATAATTTTATTGAAAAATAAAATTATTAAATACACATACTTTTACGCTTTTATTAGTGCAAATTAATAATATAGCAACAACCAAGCTTGCATCTACAAAGATTACCAAATATCTAAAGCTAGATATCATTAAGCTAGATTATATTAAATAGAAATGAATTAATTTGGACTAGATATTGTACAGGATAGCCCTATGAGATCTGGCTTTGATATATGATAATATATTTAAATGAAAATATTAAATTTATATCCTAAAAAAAAAACTACAAATTTTTTCACTTTTACGTAATGGTAAAACTATAAAGTGCATTATTAAAATGAATTTCTTAAAATGTTATTTGGAATAATATATGTGTATCTAAAAGTCGCTTGTAATCTGTAGGAACCAAAACTATCAGAAAATTGCATGTAAATTTATTAAATATTTAGATAATTTTGACTGATTATTTTTGTCATTTGCTTAACTTAATATATAAAGAATGGATTTAATTAAATAAAATAATTTGTTAATTTGAAAATAGCAAACTAATTTTATTTGTAAATAAATTTATATACAGTTGAATCCGCATGAGTCATCATATGTATATAACTAGACACCGTAGGTCAAGTAGTCAGTTTTCTGTGGTCCCGGCTGACTTACATGGGCATTAATGTTAAAAAACTCTGGTTTACTCAACACCGTTTAACTCGTCACCACTGGATAAATCGACATACTTTTTCTGTCCCACATGTGTTTAGAGGTCTGATAAATCCCTCCTGAAAAAAAAAATGAGTTCACACCACACAGCTTAACATCACAGCAGAATCCAATTTTGCATTTTTTCACCTTTCATTCATGCGTTATTTGCAGCAAGTAAAACAATTGCTGCAAATAACTGCAAGTGTTGGATACTCATTTTTAACTTCTCATCCGAAACCTAACAATGCTTACACTGAAGGAAAAATACGAACTTGTATCTGAATTTGAATGTAATAAAACTTCGCACGCCAAATTTCTAAAACAAGATAAATTTCCAAGAATAACATTGGTGAGAATTCTAAAAAGAAGAAGAAGAAGAAAAAAAAAAAGGAAATTAAGCAACTTTTTCTTGGGTCTTTATTGTGGGTGTCTCAAAAACACCAGAGAAAGTTGCCGCACAAAGATGTTGAAGATGCTCTGGTATCTTTGCTAAAGCAAATTCGTTCATTGGATCTTCCTGTTTCAGGGCTGATACTGAAACAAAAAGTGATGGAAATTGCTGAGGTACTTGGAGCAGAAACCAACTTTAGTGCCAGTGATGGATGGTCAGAGAGATACATTGCATGTACTGTATAAAGCACTACTGTATTTTCCTAATTGTAGTTTTGTGGTTTTTTCAACTTTGTTTTAGTGTCATATTGGATAACTTGACACATTTTCATTCCTCCTTGGGTGTCGACTTATGCAGACTCAACTGTATATATTTTCGATGTAATCAAACATCCATAATTTGTTTACATCAATTGAAAAACATATTTAATCTTGAAAGAAAATATTGAACACTTTATACAGCATCTTTTCTAAGCAAATTTTAGAATTTATCTACCAGTACTTTAGAGAAAAAGTAATATAGGTGGTATTATTTTTCTATGTAATCATTTTTCGTATAAATTTTTATTCTTTCATACTGTGTATAAAATGGTAAAAATTAATAATATGCTAAATAAACTTTCAAATAATATAAGTATACCAATGAATTTCCACAACTGATGGTCTGGCTATTCCTTTAATCTAGACAAAAGTACAAGAGGGAACTCGACATTCCAGTGACCACCAGATTAGTTTACTGGGCGGCCAGAGATGGCACTGTGTGTAGAGCATGCTTATTTACATTATTTACACTGCACTTGCTTGAATTTAATTGTAGCTATGACTTCTAAGAGTGATGTGTGTGTCAGCGATGGTGTCAAATGTAGTTTACATTTGAGATTTAAGTTTCTAGCAGTGTGTGGTATACTTTAGACACATAGGTGATGGGTTATTGGGTTAAAGGTGTATTGATGAATTATTATTGTAGGTGACCATGGTTGGTCTGGCGAACTATTTAATCTGGCAATACTTTGGAACCAAGGTGCCAGAAACTCGGTGGTTTACCCATATATGAAATCTAATACCATATTAACAAGTAATTGTAAGTTTTTTAAACTAAAAATGAACAATTTTTACCATTCATTAATGCAATATACTTCTTTAACAGATTCTTCTTTGTTGCTTTCAATTCTTGTCTCTCTCTTTCCAATTGATGAAAAGTACTTGTTAAATTATTGACATGAGTTGCAGCCTGTAAAATACATTAGATAATTAAGATCATTTTAATTAAATTTACACTATTTTCATTCAGAACAACCAATAGCATAATTTTCTCTATTTCACCAAAAAGTGCACCTTGCCAAAACATGTGACATCACTTCTTGTTGGCTACTAGTCACCATCACCTCTGTCAATCTACAAATAACGTTTAGAAGTTATTTGTAGGTTACAATATACCATATTAATAAAGCCATTAATAGGGCATATAGTTACTTAAATAAAATGAAAATGGGATAATTTGGGAATTAGTATATGAAAAAGTTGGAACAATTTTCATTCTTGTATAAATTGGATTGCTGTTGTAATATAAATTACAGCATTTTTAAACAGATAAACTTTTGATAAATACTATACAATACTTAATAATTTGTACCTATCATTTACAGCTACAAGTAGATTGCATTGTGGAATAATACAAATATTATGAGAAAGTCTTTTTTGATATGATGTATTCTTAGACGAAATGAGGTATAAATGTTTCAGGCTGCGTTCACACTGCTGACGACAATGACAAATACCGATTCTTTTATTGTTCGTCATCGTCTGTAAAATGTTCACACTAGTCGTTATCGTTGATCTTTTGTCTTAGTCATTCCGAAGTTGCCCAAGATTCAACATTTGTCATTGCCATAATGGTCTTGGCCAATCAAAGTGAACTTCCCAAAAAATCTTTGAACAAGATGGAGGAGCAACTGATCTCGTGTGTACAAGACCTTGGCTATATGATATGTGTAGGTGGGATTACAGAGATGTTGATAAAAAAAAAATAACTACAGTAGATACTATTTTGTATAAATAGTACCTAAGCAGAGATATTCATATAGTGCAATTAATTAATTAACATTTTGGCTAAGTTTTCTTACAAATTTATATATGAAAATAATTTATCTACTGTATATTAATCTTAACTTTTTTCTTTTTTACTCCTTACAGAACCAATCACTATAATAATTTTCAATGTTGTTGCAAATTGCAAATTATTGTAGTGAAATTGATGCAGCTAATAATTCAATAAGTATACAATCAATAGACCAATGCTCATATAAATTTTTAGTCACAAAATTTCATCTTTTAATTACTTCTGAATTTTGATTCAAAGATATTTAGTTAGTTATTATTTACTGATATATAAAAGATATTAAAAATATACTTTTGCAAATGTATAAAGAAAGAAACTGTTTATACTATGTTTATGGCATTTAATGCCTAATTTTACAATAGACAGAAAATACCAAGTATTTTTTTAACAAGTGTAGTAATTTAATGACTATTAAAAGATGACTCAACGTTTTTCAACATACAGTAATTAATTTTATAACAAACCTTTTGACTATTGATTATTATATAGTCAGAATGCTTATTATAAACTATACATAAATACCTTTTTATTATATCAAATTAGATAATATTTAATACTGATACTTTTTTTTTGTAGTACAGAATGATACAGAAAATGAAGAGAATGTAGGTCGAAGCAGACAAGTTGTACAAGATGATCCTCCCTCAAGAAAACGAAAGAGGGATAGGACAGTTGACATAATTGCAAAGTCTCTTTTTTATTACATTGTCAGTTTCTTCAAAACGAGACGATGATGAAGATCCAGATATGTTGTTTTGTACGAGTTTAGCTGTACATCTCAAGACGATTCCTCAGCATAAAAAACTGAGAGTCCAGATTAAGATGCAGCGGCTTCTCTTAAATGAATTAGATGAATAAAATTTTCATTTATTTTCACATTATTGCTTCTTTATATATGAAACTTATTTAATTAAATAAAAAATATAAAGCTAAGAAAAAAGATATAAGCATTATATTATTATAATTTGGATTTATTCATCCATCAAAAGATATATACAATAAGGTATAATATTATTCAATTTTGGAGACCTCTGTTGATTACGTCATCCTGTTAAGGCAATGGATGGTTTACAAAATATTCTTTATATGTGTCTCTAATAATGACTGCATCCTTTGAATGTGTATTTGTAGAAATATGTCCAATATCATGAAATGTCCTCCTTTCATTGCCATTATTAAAAATAAGATGATCAGCATTTAGATACTTCTTAAATACTGCTGATTGCGGTTCTGTTTTATGAATAAAATTATATATACAAACAACTGCTTTTATAATATTTTCCATACTTTCTGTAGAAGCAATGATACTTGTTCGAAGTATACCATCTATTTGCTGTTATTCCAAAAATGTCTTCCACTATTCATCTCGCCCTGCTTAAACCGTAGTTAAATATTTGTTTCGATCTGTCTAATTATTTTCATGGATATGGTTGTAGAAGATGATGTTTCAAAAGAAAGGCCTCATCACCAGCATATATATAAGGTAATGGGACATTTCCTCTGGGGAGACGTTTGTCTTCAGTAATGCAGAGACTATTATTTTCTACACCTAGTTGAAACATACTTTGATTAAATACACTTGCATCGTTACTTCTTCTATGAGCTCTAGTATCAATAATATTGCAACAATATGTTGCACCACATACTGCAAGTAGAACTAAAATATGCATATTTTTATAATTGTAAAATGGAGAAGCTCTAGCTTCAGGAGACTGAATATGGACATGTTTCCTATCAACAGCACCAATGCAATTTGGGAAATTCCATATTTTTCAAATTTAAATTTAATGCTATTTTTTTTTTTTACCACATATCTAGAGTTGGTTCTGGTAAATAAATAGGCTTCAATATGCTCCACAGAACTTCAGTTGTTTGTTTTACAACTGTGAAGACTTGATACACCTACTCTATAGTTGTAAGCAGCGGATCTCATAGATTCCACAAGCTAGATATCTGGAAAAAAACATTAAATAATTATATAATGTATTTAAAAAACGTTAATTTATTGCTATAGTTTTAATCCTTTAGCATTCTTATATAGCATAGTGTTAGAAACTAGAATACCAAAAAATATTTCACAAAATGATATGAAGATAATTCTTAGTATTATTAGTAACATATTAATAATTGATTTTTTAGAATTATATAGCTTTTCATCTAACAATATATTATACTTTTAAAAGAATATCCAATGATTAAAATTAATTTTATTTTTTTAGTCATTTCTTTAAATTTTAAATTAATATAAATTTACAAAATCAAATAGAGTTGCATAAATAAAAAAAAAATTATGCTTACCACAACATCATACTCAAATGTTCTGCAAGTGAGATCGCTTTGCAAAAATTTATATTTTCTTTCTTGATATGAAGCCCTATCAAACTTAACAGATGGTTGAAAGTATTTGGAGACATACGAAAATAATTAAAAAATCCTTCAATGTCTTTCAATCGTAATTCCTGAACCAAAGTGTGGAAATCTTGTGTTTGTCTATCAATATTAATAGCTCTGATCTGCTGCAGACTTTGACGTTTTTCTTAATAACAACAATAAATTCAGCTGTTGACATTGAAGAATTAACATTTTACTCTTCGTATCCATTTTTAAACTAGAGACGAATCTGGTCTAGAAGTGCAAACCTCTAAGTAATAACGCTAAGCCTAATGTACATTGTGCATGCTCTAAAATGAAAACTAATGAACAATGTGAATGCTTTGATGATGAACGAAAACGATGAAAGACAAGCCCTCTTATTGCTTAGGATCTGTGGTCGTCGTCATCTTGGCAGTGTGAATGCAGCTTTAGACACCAAAATAAAATAGTTATTAGATATCCAACAAGATATCAATAAATTACAATAAAAAAAGTACTCAAATATCATTTAAATAGAATATTTAATTATAGTTCAGTAGAAAATCTAAACATGAACAGGTGGTGCAAACACTAGGGCCTTTGGAGCCCAGCTGCTTGTAATATGTAACAAAATTAGAATTTTCAAATATTCCATACAAAACTATAGAATATCAAAATATAGGGTCTTCCACAAAATGAATTTTATTTATATGTATACAGTAATAATTAAATTACTGTAATAATTCAGGTAATTATCAGGTAGATGAAACTCAGACATTTACTCTATCTGCATACAAACATATTTTTGTCTCCTGTCTCTAGGAAGGGGCACAAACAAAAATAGTGACTCTGCAACAGAGGTGTTTTGTGTTCTGCAGTTTGCAAACTCATCATCATCGTGAAACAAGAACATTTGCCTTACATGGTGTTTTGTTTTGAAACTGTCTGCAAAACTCAAAACTCATGTTGCATAATGACAACTGATTCCAACTTGTGAACTGAAAAATGCTTTCTCTGTTGCAGCAGAGTCACCATTCAAGACAGCAGACAAAAATACATTTGTATGCAGATGGTAGATGAAATTCCAATATTTACCCTATTGATTGATGTACAGTACATCACATACTTCTCAAGTAATAACTAACATAATTATAGTAATTTAAAATGGTAGCATTCTTTCTTGAAAGATCCTGTATATGTGTTACAAACTGTATATATATACCTGGAATTACGTAAGTAATGTAGACCATAGACTTTATGTAATTAGAATTTGTAAATTGCTTAAGTGTAACTATGTAATTAATAAATCAATTATACAATTATATATATATCACACTAACCTTATGAAGCTTTGCAAATATTTTTTAATGTACCACGAATGTTTTCGGTCCACCTTAGGACCTTCTTCAGGATCAAGCAGACATCAAAAGAGCACCGGGAGTGTATAAAATTCCACTCAAGGGTGACAGATTCAATATGGATCTTGTATATATCAGATCTACAAGATCGCTCAAACAACGCCTCCGTGAGCATAAAATAGATATTGAAAAGAAGAAAAGCACTACCACCTTAGCGATATATGCCAGTGAAAACAGCATTACACCTGAATTACAACAGGTAACCATGATCCAGCAAACTCATCATATACACCAACTTAGGAATTTGGAGGCATTAGAAATTTTTAAAGCAGAACGCCAAGGCCTTTCAATCAATTTTAAAGATGAAAACAACTCTCGAGGGCATGGCAGGCTATGTATGACCCAGCGTTATAGCTGCTGATGCAGGTGCACATTGTTAGAAATTTAAAATTTAAAAGGAAATTAGAACACATTGGAAACAGAATAGAACAGAATCGCACCAAAAAAGGTTTTCTCTAATAGAACTCCACCTGAAGAAGGTCCTAAGGTGGACAAAAAATATTTGTGGTACGTTAAAAATATTTGCAAAGCTTCATAAGGTTAGTGTGATATATACAATATTTGTCAATGCTTTGTTTATAAGATGGATTTTAATAAATTAATATTTGTATTTATTATTATATGTGTATTGTTTTGCTCGACTTTCACTGAGTACTGTACAGTACTGTAAAAGAATCTTGTTTACAAGAAAGAGTGCCCAGTACGCTTGCATGCATGCTTACAATTAAACTGAAAAGTAAAGGATTAGCAGAGCAATAAAGTAATAAATCGGTGCAGTGAAAGAAAAAACAGGAGAGAGAGAGAGAGAACAAACAAATGTTTGAAATAGAATAATTCTTTGTAAAATTACATGTTACTCTAATCAGATTTTTTCCAATTTTTGAGATTTACATTTTACATAACTGCAAATTTATGTAAGTCATATGTTACGTAACTTGGGGTATTACTATATACACACACAACTTAATAAATTAGAACCAACAGAATATTGTAGGTGCCCTATAATTTTTGTGCCAGTACTTATTGGTTCTAATTTTAATTATTTTTATAGAGGGCTTGTTCTTACATCATTGGGCTGCAATTTGAAAAAAATGTAGACCCATGAATTTCCACTGTCATCTGTCTTTCCTCAATCTCGAGAACTGGGTTAAATAGATGAAATCAGAGATCAGGGGCTATATTCTGGTCACTGTCTCTGGTCTCTCTCTCGCAAGCCAGTCGCTGATTGGCTAATCACTTGGATTAGCCAATCAGCGACCGGTTTGTGAGAGACGAGAGACCAGAGACTGTGACCAGAATATGGCCCCAGATATGGAAACCTTTAGGGGCAGAGGCCCCAATTAACTATATACAAGCTTCTGATGCAAACTGGATGTCACGTTATTTCAATTCAAAACTTTTCCCTTGAAAGCAGTTAATGGATGACCAGCATGACATTATTGTAAAGGAAAACATACAGTACTAATTTTGACAAGGTCACTGAGCATTAGCAAAAAAGTACTTTTGAACTTTTTAAAACTTTCAGACCACCTACTGAGTACTGCACATAATTCAGTGAATACATGTTAAAGAATGTGTAATTTATATAGTTTTTCATAATAAATTTTGAAATTTTCATACTACACTGATATATTTAATTTGTAACTTATATTAAAAAGAATGTTATCATAACGATATATTATTTGTTTTATTGTACTTATGCTAGTACATAATGAACTTAAAAAATAGTAACAGAATACTGTTAAAATAATAAGATTATTTATTTAATTTTTATCTTAACTTATCAATTGTAATATACCAAATATTAGATAACAAAATATATAGAAAAATTTTAATTTATTAAATTTAATAATACTAGTACATAAAATTGAACTGCAGTATATATTCTGCATATATTAGACATTTTCATTGAAACTTACCGTATGTAATATATCTGATGTTGAATATTTTTCAAGTACTTCCCTCGAAGGTGAAGTCAAGTCTGATGAGAGAGTATCCAACAAATCATTTAATTTCCTCCTTTCTCCATCTTTTACTCCATTACCTAACATATTATCTTCTTCAGAACTGCAAGAATCATGCTGTTTATCAGAAAAGCTCCAGCTGTGAACTATATCACTGTTAGTAAATTTCTGGTTTTTGTGCACATGAATTTTTCTCTCTTCCCTCTGAAAGTGACATTTTTCTCTTCTTATTTTTCTCTCGTCGTTACAGCATAATAAATTACACGTCTTAGTTTGTTTTCTTGCACGATCCGACTTTAATTTGACATTAGAATTTTCCAATATCTCCAAATCGTCGCAACTTTGAATTTCTGTCCTTTTATTGTCCGTATCATTGTATTCCTTACAATATATAAACTGTTTGTTGTCGTTACAATGATTATTATCGTTATTATTTGAGTGAAAATTTCTGACATAACTTTCATCTACATTACCATTTCCTTCAAATCTGAAACTTTTAGATTGGTTTATAAAAGACACATGATTTGAATTTATTCTGTCAATAGTTTCGTTACTATTGCTAAGTGAAATATTTGAGTTTTCAGTGAATAATGAATTTGAAGGAACTGAATTCAGATTTTCTTTAGAACTAACAGGCGTATATACAAAATTACTATTATCGACGTTACTTGATTCTTTGTTTTGTAAAATAAGTTTCGTGTTTTGCAGTTGCCACTTATTCTTTGGCAATTGAACTTCAAAAGAATTTAAATTACCATTCGGAGGTGAATTATTATTTATATGAGAATTTGTTACTGCATTTAAATGAGTTGTTGTCTGTGTCATAATTGGGACTGAATCCTTGTTCTTTTGAAATTGATTTTGAATAAAAATTTCCTGTTGTGTCTTATGATTTCCAATTCTACATGGATTATTATATTCCTTGCTTATATCTGTCGTATTACTGAGTGGTTGCAGCAAATTAAATGCTCCATTAGAAAGGTCTGTAGCTATATTATTTGGTACTGTTTGTAACTGAGGAACAGTTTGAGGTAACAAAAATTGGGTTTTAACTGCTGGCTCTGAATTGTCAACAACATTAATAGGTGAAACAGAAAATGGAACCAATTTCATTGGCACTACTTTGTTTCCAACAAGAACATTCAACATTAATGATTTATCATTATTTGGGGTATCAGAATGAGTGCTATTTTTTAATTTCACGTGATTCTCTTGAGTATCCGATACGGTAACATTTAAAATCTGAAAATTTTGATTATTGGCATTTTCAGTCTTTTGTACATTTGAAGCTTGTAATAATTCTGTAGTTTGGTTATTTGATAGTATATCTTTACAATCTATTTCGTATAAGACTGGACTCACTTTCGCATTTTCATTCTTTACAAAAATATGAGAATTATTTTTAACTGTTACTTTATTCTTTTCTACTCTGTACTGATGTGACGTACATTTACCATCTTGACCAAACTGAACGTCTGTTTTTTCTGTCAATAGAGATGTAGTTAAGGGATCTGAATTTTTTCTTGAGGTAATAAGATCATTTTTGTTATTGCTCAAACAATCTTCAGTAAATACAGATTCTAACTTTTGTGATGTAGGAACAACAGACCTAACAAAATCTTTAACTTTTGTGTTATTACTATTTTGGTCTTTACTAAATGAATATTTTTCATATAAGGAGGAATAATTATTTTCTAATAAACTAATTAATGTTTTATTTTGTTGTAATTTACTTTTTCTGTTGTTTTGAGGTATACAAACTTTCTTAGAAATCAAATTTCTGCTATCACCACAGTCTGATTTCCGTTTTATCTTTTGTTTATTTTCTTCAAAAGGATACGAAGAATCCCACAATTCATTTCCTGTAATTGAAACAGCCGAATCTTTATATCTTGCAGGTAATCTGATTAATCTCTTACTTCTAGTGGCCTGCGTCTGTTCTAATTTTTTAGAAATTCTTGACTTTTCACATGGAATGTATTTATTATTTGACTTTGTTAAAATTTCCTTTTTCTCAACAAAACTTTTATTTTCAGATTTGGACTTTGATAAATGCATATTTTTAGTCTGATTACCACACTGTAAAATGGTTTGTGGATTTTTACAGATATTTAAAGTTTCTGAGGTAATCAAAGTTTTTACGGCTTCTTCAGCAACTGACTCTTCTATTATTGGAAATGATTCTTGTACTTTTTCACTGTATATACAATTAGCTTCTTCTACATTTACTTTATTCAAAAATTGCACTACTTTCTTATAATCATCGATTTCATTATTCCATAATGTTTGTTGAATTAAAAGTAATTTATTATTCAATAATGATATTACAGCTTTATCATTTGATTTTAAAATATCATCTTCAGTGATATCACTATAATTACTTTTTAATTTCTGTACAATCTTTGTACAAGTTTGTGTGTTATCGTGTACCATAGGTGACTCTCTAACTCTTGTCTGCTTTAAAGTAGACTTAGCATTAATTTTATTTTTATAGCTGATATTACTTTTTGCATCTTTCTGTTTTATATTACCATTTGAGGAAATTTCAGACTTTTGCGATAACACTATCTTCTCATTAGGAATTTCTGATGTAATTTGATCTTCATTCTTTTTAGTAATTTTTTTATTAATTCCCATCCTTGCAACTTTATAACTACTCATATTTTCTTTATTTGAATATCTCATTTCTGATGGCGATGATTCGTCAGACTTTCTCAGAGAACCCACTGATAAAATTGGTGAATTCTCTGGAATAGATAATATATTTGGATTATATTGTGTTAACATGTTAATACTGAGTTTTGATCTTGTTTTTAAGAAATCGTCTAATATATTACTCATGAATGCTGACCTAGAAGATTTGCTAACAGTCTGTTCTAAAGTTTTTTCAATATTAGTTTTGGTTTCGGTATGAGTTTTTGTATCCTTTAATATGCTTTTCTCTTCGGATTTACTTGTTGAACAATTTTGTATATAATGTGGTTCATTTTGTCCATTTAATTTTGAGATCTTGACCTTTTCATCTTCCTGTAAGGTTTCATTTTTTGTATCAGATGATGGGTTTAATCCTTGATCACTGGTTAAATCTTTATGTATTAAATGTTCCCAAGAAATGTAACTTGGAGGTGGGGGACAAGGTTCCTGTACAAACAATTTATTTCTCCAGCCTTTAATTCTAGTAATATCATTTGTCTTAGTTGGAACAATAGCTCCTTTTGTCTTCTGATTTTCACATTCATTACAATTGTTATTATTACTATCTGAATGTAAATTATGGTTGGTCTTCACAAATCTTTGTAAATTTTGTTCAGAAACAAAACTAAAAAATTCAACACCGTCTATTACATCAATTTCAGGATCGTTAATTTCATTAATTGTGTTAGTAGAATAATTAAAATAATTATAGAACTCTTCTCCACAATGCATTAACGGTTCTTTATCTGGGTGTTTTGTAGGAGATTCAGATTTAATCCTTTCTAAAAGTACAACAGGTTGAAATTTTGGACTACTTTGTAATCTTTGATTTTTGTTCTCAGAATTAATGTCTGAATTACAGGAATTAAAGTTTGAAGTACCACTAGTTCTTGCACTATTTAAAAAATTTAATTCTTTACAACACCTAGCTCTTGGAAATGATTTACGTGCTTTCCTCGAGAATTTATTAATATAACGATAATCACTTTTTTCTCTGAAAGAAAAGCAATCATTGGTGTGTGACCATTGATTTTCATTACGAGATGACGATGACGATGCTAAAGCTTTATGGGATACGGTAACATTATAAAATGAATTTTCATTGGGTAAATGTTGCTTACACTGATAATTAGATGTGTAATCATCATTGAATACTACAAGCGGATGTTCGTTTTCAGATGTAAATGGAATTAAAGTAGGCATTTGGGGAGAACTAGGAGAACATTCTTCAATGTTGTCGTCATCATAAGTAATTAAAATTGGCATTTGTCTTTCTCCAAGTGATTTAGGTGATGTCTCACTGCTATCCAAAATAAGTTTAAAACTAGCCTTATCTTCAGTTTCATTTTTTGTTTTTTTAGTTAATGAATTTTCTGATAATTTAACATCACAGTTTTGCATTAGTGATTTGTTTTCAGAAAGATTTTCAAATATTTTACTACAAGTTTCTTCAAATGATGATGATGTAGACTGTATTAGATTCAATTCAAATGCTTTTGTGCAAGAATAATTATGGTCTTCAGAATCTTTTTCATGCTTACATCTTTGTTGAATTCCCTTCCTTCTCTTTCTTTTGTTTTTATGTTTAAATGGAAATTTGTGATGGCTTGAATAAAACGATTTTTTTCTTTTGATAAAATATTTTCTTTTGACAATATTTTTAATATTACTTTCCTTTTTTCTTAGACAATAATGTGACTTATAATTTGAAACTCTTGTTTTATTTTCTTGCACAAGTTTCTCACAACTGAATTTTGGCGATAAATAAGATTCTTCCTTGATTTCATACTTATAATTTTCTGGAAAATTCTGAATGTGATTATCATAATTTTCTTCTAGTTTAAAATTATTTACATTATTATCTTTAAGAGGAGTTAATTTCACCACAGTTGCTCTGTTTAAAGTATCTTTCATTGGCATTGAACAGTTACTTGATATATGTTGATCTTCATGATTTATTTGAAACAACTCCTGCCAATTATTTACATCAGTTAACGAAGAAGTGGTTTCATTTTCTTCCGAGCTCTCTTCAACACTTTTTATTGTTAGTTTGTCGTATAAATTTTCGTTTTTGTTAGAATCAATTTTATCTATGCACATAATTGTATCACGACTACATTCATTATCAAAAATATCACATGTGTTATCGTCATTTATTACTGAATCTTCAGAATCAGAAGATAAACGAAGAAAATGCAAACTATTTTCAGAACATGTGCCATCGCTTCTGCAAGACTGAGTTTCAGTGCTAGGACATTCTACATCAATATTGGATGTCCAGTTTTCTAGCACTAATGATTTCTGATAACTTTCAGATGGCATATCATTCATGTTGGTATTTGTAATGCGTCCAGATACATGTGCCGACAGAATGTCACGACAATGTGAATGATGCTTATCTGTGTTATATTCATTTCTTCCAGATAATTCTGAAAGTTCTGTTGTCACTATCACTTTTGCATTCATAAAATATTCAATATGATACACAAGGAGAAACACAATCCAACAAGAATAATATGTCCATTTTCAACAGTAATTAAATACAAACAACTATCGTGTTGAATATATATCCATTTCTATTAAAACTTTTTCTTCTGTAGTTTTGCATACTTTGTTTTCGCAACAAAAACCTGAGGAGAAAAAAATTATTTGAGAATTAATTACTATTTTAAAAATTATTACGAATTAATATAATATCAGAAGGCCGCAAAATAAGATTAGAAATTATGTCAACTAATTGGACAGATATAGTAGAATTGCCATGCAAAACTAATGCAGACACTACAACTGCAGAACTAATTGTAGAACGTGAGTAATTAGAAGATCATAACTTATTATAAAATTATTAATTTGAAACATTTTAAACTTAAATTTTAATTTTTTAGCTGCTAATAAACTCATGAAGAAATTAAAAGATACAAATGTATTAGAAAGAGAAGAACTTGTATTAGAAGTAGAACTAATGGATAGAAAAGCACCTTTGCAATGGTTTAAAAATGGAGAACCAATAAAAGCATCTGATAGGTAAAAAATTTATTTTTACATTATTATTATTATTATTATGTTGGGTTTTGTGAGTTATACTTGGTTCACACCGGTGGCTGTGCACTATGCCGGATCAAAGTCAAGGCATAGCAACCAAAACAAAACTAAAATTAAAGAAGTGTGCCAGTNTCTAAAATACCTATATTTGTTCATTTAAACTCCATTAAAGCATAGTTTGATTATTTTGTTCATAAGAGTGTAATTAGTTCTAAAGTTCTACTATTAAAATGTATTCTCACTATGTGTGTATTAAAAAAGAGACTTTATTCCTTATCATAAATGGATCAGCTGGGTCTAGAATGGGGCCGTTGGATGACAAGGAATAAAGTAGAACATATACGACCAAATTACCATAAAAATTTAAAATGATTTAGACTCAAACCAAAGTCTCTTAGCATGGTTAGCATACACTTTAGCTACTTCAACCAACTACATATTTACTGTTATTGACAAGACTATGTCTTGTTTATAAAATCGTACTGCTGTTTTATGTTACCAGCATAGAGGTATGAAGGAGTACATGTCGAGAGTTGATATTTGGCACAGAGTATTAGGTGCCCAAATCATTTGTGTGTAAAAAAATCCAGACTTGTAGGTAGTCGGGGGACAGAGAACCGAGTCAAAATAAAATACAAAATGACGACCCTCTTCTACAAACAGGCAAAACAGCCACCTCACCCCACCGAAGTCAGGTGGGGGAGAGTACCACCCACAGTCATTCTAAGAATGAACTCTGACCTTAGGACTGAACACAGTTTCTTCTAAGTTAAATAAAATTTGTAATCTAATTTTGTAAATTTGGGAGTGCTTCAAATATGACGTTAAAACAGTTTTATGTTGTTACAAATCCACAGAAAAATTTATTATTTTTGTTCTTATATTTCTACTTGTATTAAAACTTTTTTATTCAAGTGAGTCAGGAAAGGAGAGAGAAATATGAGAGTAGCTCTAAAGGAAACTAAAGGATTTAGAACACCACTGCTTTACAATATTTCTTGACATATTAACATAGTCTTTGTTTACATAGTAGCAAGTAATTAAAAATTGTAGACTAAGCATTCATCAAATTTACGTAAAAATTGTAAAATAAATTTAAGGGATCTAAAATTAAAGCTCACATGACAAGTAAAAAGTTCCTAAAATAACAAAAGTAGCTTTAACTCTAAAAGTCTTCTTTATAAGCTACTGTCAGAATCCAGAGATTTTCTTCTTGCAGCCACATCTCCATCAGAAGTATCACTGTATACTGTCTTCTCAATATAATTCATTTTATAATGGATAATTTCTTGGACTTTTTTAGTCTTGAAACTTGGGGTGAACATTAAAATCAGGAACAAAGTTGACTTAACATGTTAACCGCTATCCAATGTACCGGCGATCATACTAATCAGAGCCATACGATGTGCTGGGGGTCATAGTAGTTAAGGCTGTTCAGAGCCATATGACCGCTGGCAGTCAGAGCAAATTTTATAGATGTGCGCAAGAGGCCACCACTAGGATGTAAAACATTGTCTTACAAAACCAGGATAATTTAACCTTGAGTGAAACTTCATTGATTATAGCGACGTCGGGTGGTCAGTACGGCTCTAGTTAGTACGACAGCCAGCATGTCGGATAGCGATTAACGTGTTAACACAGTCTTGTTTGCATCATTTGCTCTTTACTCCACTTAGAAATTTGCATGTATGTTTTCATTTTGGTTTTGGAATGGTTTCGTGGTCTTTTGAACTACAGCAAGCCGAGTAAATGATGTCCAGCAGATGACTCCTATAACATTACATTTAAGTGGAGAGTTATCTACTACTATGCTGAAGAACATGCCTATAGGATTTTTTGTGTGATACTACATATTTTGTAAATTCCAAGCTTTTGCATAAGGATGTGAAATCTTGTTGTTAAAACATTGATCACATGGTAATTTTGACTGATTTTGCATTGGTCTGCAAATTTTCTGTACCTGATAATAGTCATAAATGAATTTAACTGAAAATGTGGATATCACGAAGCATTGTAAACATAAAGATAAAATGCTTTTCAAAAATGCATATAATTACTGTTTAAATACAGCTGTTTGACTTTTTGCAGCTGTGTTTTTAGTGATATAGGGCATACATTCATTTGCAAGCTAACTTTTTCAAGTTTTGACATCTTGAAAATCGGATATGCATTAGAATTGAGAAAACAGTATATCATAATCATATTTACGTAATAGTAATGCCAAACAATAGCCGGATTAAAATTGGGCTAAGTTATCGTGCTTTGAGATGTTTATATATACATAATAGCAAACAATTAAAAATTGTAAACTTAGGTATTCGTCAAATTTATATAAAAATTCTGACTAAGTGTAGAACTGAGTTTTCAAATTCTGACAGTAGCCTAAAAAGAAAAAAAACTTTATTGGAGTTAGGGCTACTTTGTCATTTTAGGAATTTCATTTTTAGTTATACGATTTATTATGCAATTTTTAACAATTTTTGTTGTCATAAAAATTTCTTTAATTGTGCAAACTAGATATTTTTTATTACAATTTTTCAATTTCATTATACTTATAAAACATACATTATTACTCTCCTTAAAGTATTAAAAAAATTTCTACTATTTTAACTCATTTTTATAAAAATCTATCATTATTTTAATTGGGAAACAAATATTTAAGGCCTCACTCAATACTTTTATACAAAAAAAAGTACAAACATGTTAGTGAATCATTAATAAGTCTTAAATAAACGATAATGGATGCGATTATTTCGTCAAACATTAAAAAATGTTGCTAATGTTTAATTAATTTCTTCTTTTTTTGTAAATAACGAATTAGCTCACGAGAAGTATTACTTTATGAACTAATGAGAAAATGCTATTCTAATTTATTTAAAATAATTTTTGTTTCTATTAGGTTAAGTAGAATAAACTTTATTAATAATGAAGTCCTAGAGAGGAGTGAATATGAATACGCAACTCCCACATTTCAGATAGATAACTCTTGAATTCGAAACTACATGAATTTGACATTCTATATACTAATTATTATGATTACCATATATTCTGGCATATAAGATGACTTTTTAACCCAGGAAAATCTTCTATAAAGTCGGGGGTCGTCTTATAGGGCGAGTATATCCCAAACTCTATATTTTAACTGTAAAAGTCAGGGGTCGTCTTATACACCCAGTTGTCTTATATGCCAAAATATACAGTAATTTAATTCTTAGAATTGTTTATAAATAAAATACTTATATCTACCATTATAAGACTTAAGTTTTAAAATATAACATATAAAATAATAACAATAAATAATTTTTAATTGTTTTGATGATAACTTAGGTGAATCTCTGCAACTTTCATCACTCATTTTATGTATCGATATTCAAACTAATAAAACTGAAAATTTTATCCAAAAATTCTAAAAATGAATTTTTCTTTCTTTCTATTTCAATTTTCAGGGACTTATTCTGACAGAATTTTCTAATTTTGCAATTACGTTAATACTTTTTGCACTAGAAAACACTCATTTCAATGTATTTTGATTCAACAAAAATTTGATATGTCAAACGAACAGTTAAGAGCAAAACATTTTACTAGAAATAAGTGTTCTAATTTTTAAAAATAATTTATTATTATTTTTTTTTATAACAAATTTATTTGAAAAGAAATAACAAATTCAATTGGAAAATCCAGTCTTATATTTTAAAAACAGTCTAGAAGCAATCCAAATCTAAAGAAATCGGATCCTTTTTAAAAGAAAAACTAAGTTTAAAAAATAACCTATAACACACGGGTTTATCATGGCTGAACAATATAACGTTTGTCAGTTTTAACAGTAGTAATACTGGAAAAAAAAAAAGTTACAAGTGCTGTATATATTTTAATTTTATTCTGAGAGAGAAAGAGAGAGAGAGATAAACATATAAAGATATAAGTGTGATTATAATAAATTACATATATTATTATGTTAACAAGTTAGTCCAGTAAGGAGAAAATATTTAAATAAATCAAAAGGTCATATTAACCATAAAAGTGAATTATTTTAAATGAACAAAGATAAATTTATACTCTGTCAGTTAGAAGGTTGTGGAACAAAAAAATAAATAATAAAGTTAAATGATTTCTATTTAATGGCATGTAGACTTATTACTTTTTTTTTTTTTGTTGTTGTTCTTGTATGAAGATATCAAATACCAAAAAAAATTGTGGTATATTTTTTAGCAGTAGAATAATCAAACTGAAACAAAGCTCTATATATATACAAAAGTTAAGATATGTATTTACATAAGGTAAATGGTTCTACACTGTTGAATGTATCTGTACCAAATTTGCACAATATTCTTCAACACCCTAGAAAAAACTGGGAGTCCCCAACCCCAATCACCTTTAAAGCTCACTCTCTTAACTTAAGCCTGAGCAATGTTTTGTGTTTTGCAGTTTCATTATTGTAAATACTCGGTCAATAAATGTATAATTTAGTTACTAATACCATTTTTTTTTAATCACCCTCTCCCAACCCAACCTCACCAATTTCCCACCCCTCAAAAGACTGTGCAATGCCACACACATACAGCTAACACACAATAAAAGTACACAACTTTTAAATTCCAGTAATATGTTTCTTAAAATAATCAAAATGCTAATGTTTTTGGTTGCTTCAATTGACCATCTTCAGGCATCTTTATTGTGTACAGCAGAGTTTCAGTGGAATGTCACTGTATTAAAAGAGGTATATAAATTATTATTATACTGGTGATACCTGAACGAAAACCTTAAAATTTATTTGCAAACACTTTTGGAAGCAAATACATTTGACATTTTCGAATAAATAATAACTAAAGATGGATTATATTCAAGTTACAATAAGGCTAATTAATTAGCCTTAAACTGAATGTAAACTGGCTTTAATCGTTTGAGTACTGGTAATTAAAAATTCAGA